TAAGTTTTTGTAGGGCAGACAGGCATATGTTTCTCCATTTTCACCCACCCTTCCCTCATGGATGTTGCCTTGACTGTCATGCTTACTCTGCATGGTTGCTATTGGCTGTTTGTGGATATCTCGACTGTTTCACGGTTTGTCCCTATGTCGGGGAATTGACAGGGTGGTTCACCCAGTTTTGCAGACTCCTGGTTCCAATACCAGGAGTCTGCAAAAAGCAATACTAAACTGTACCTTAACCCCTCAACTGCTCGGCTTCCAAATATGAAACCCCGTTTCCCCCCCGCAGCGTGCAGGAAATAAATTCTCTGGATTATTTTTTTTTTTTTTTTTTTAGTGTCAAAACCCCTTCCCTGAGTATGGGTATAGTAACAGAAGGTCGAAATTGTATGTACTTTGGCTGCTATGGGGTCCGTAAGTTCGTGCATGACGTCGTCATTCCCTGGTTGCCCATGGCGTATGCCCCCGGGGCGGTAGGGTGCCAAGGGCAGGATGCACGTGTTGCCGCGAATATATTTTTGTTCATTTTTTCCGCACAGTTCCAAACACATTTTATTTGTTTTTTCATGCCAATCCTATGTGTAATGAACACGTACACTACATCCCCCCCTCCCTGTTCAGCCCGTTGACGCCGTGAGGGGGGCTTAGTGGGCGGCTGCCGGAGTGTGATGCTGCAGGTGAGTGAGAGGCTGCAGGATCCAGTAAGTTCAGTAGAACTTCGGTTTCAACTCTCTTTACCAAGTCGTAGCTTGGTCGATTAAGGCAGTGTCTGGGATGCTCCCAGACACAGGTTCGAATCCTCGTCACGGCCCTTGTAGATTTGTTTATTTGATGCATCTCGCTATTGTGATTTCTGTGTGTAATGATGTAAGGGCGAAGAGGGAGAACGGCCTATTGACATAGCTCGAGTGCATGGGGGAGTTGTGTAAAACCCTGGGTTGTTTGAAAAATTTCCTAACTGACAGAAAAATGAGGGCCGTAATCAGAGGCAAGGTATCGGATTGGAGGAATGTCACGAGTGGAGTACCACAGGGATCAGTTCTTGCACCAGTAATGTTCATTGTCTACATAAACGATCTACCAGTGGGAATACAGAATTACATGAACGTGTTTTCTGATGATGCTAAGATAATAGGGAAGATAAGAAACCAAGATGATTGTCATGCCCTTCAAGAAGACCTGGACAAAATAAGTATATGAAGCAACACTTGGCAAATGGAATTTAATGTGAATAAATACTATGTTATGGAATGTGGAATTGGAGAACATACACCCTACACAACCTATAAATTATGTGAGAAATCTTTAAAGAATTCTGACAAAGAAAGGGATCTAGGGGTGGTTCTAGATAGAAAACTGTCACCTGAGGACCACATTGTGCGAGGAGCCTATGCTACACTTTCTAACCTCAGAATTGCTTTTAAATACATGGATGGAGAAATACTAAAGAAATTGTTCATGACTTTTATCAGACCAAAGCTGGAATATGCAGCGGTTGTATGGTGCCCATATCTTAAGAAGCACATCAACAAACTGGAAAAGGTGCAACGACATGCCACTAAGTGGCTCCCAGAACTGAAGGACAAGAGCTACGAGGAGAGGTTAGAGGCATTAAATATGCCAAAACTAGAAGATAGAAGAAAAAGAGGTGATATGATCACTACGTTCAAAATAGTAACAGGACTTGATAAAATTGATAGGGAAGAATTCCTGAGACCCGGAACTTCAAGAACAAGAGGTCATAGATTTAAACTAACGAAACAAAGCTGCCGGAGAAATATACGAAAATTCACTTTTGTAAACAGAGTGGTAGACGGTTAGAACAAGTTAAGTGAGGTGTTGGAGGCCAAAACTGTCAGTAATTTCAAAGCGTTATATGACTACGAGTGCTGGGGAGACGGGACACCACGAGCGTAGCTCTCATCCTGTAACTACACTTAGGTAATTACATGATACATAAGAACAAAAGTAACTGCAGAAGGCCTATTGGCCTATACGAGGCAGGTCCTATTTATAACCACCCAATCCAACTCATATACATGTCCAACACACGCTTGAAACAATCGAGGGACACCACCACCACCACGTTACGTGGTAATTGGTTCCACAAATCAACAACCATGTTACCGAACCAGTTTTTACCCAAGTCTTTTCTAAATCTAAACTTATCCAATTTATACCCATTGTTTCGTGTTCTGTCTTGTGTTGATACTTTTAATACCCTATTAATATCCTCTTTGTTATGTCCAGTCATCCACTTGTAAACCTCTATCATGTCGCCCCTAACTCTTTGCCTTTCCAGTGAATGCAATTTAAGCTTTGTTAATCTTTCTTCATATGACAGGTTTCTAATTTGGGGAATTAACTTTGTCATCCTACGCTGGACATGTTCAAGTGAATTTATATCCATTCTATAGTACGGCAACCAAACTGTACTGCATAATCTAAATGGGGCCTAACCAAAGCAAGATATAGCTGAAGAACAACACCAGGTATCTTGTTACTAACGCTTCGATTAATAAATCCCAATGTCCTATTTGCCTTATTACGAACATTCATGCATTTATCTTTTGGTTTTAAATTCTTACTAATCATAACTCCCAGATCCCTTTCGCAATCCAACTTCGCAATCTCAACACCATCTAGCTCGTATCTTGTAACTCTATCATCATTACCTAGCCTCAAAACTTTACATTTATCAGCATAAACTGCATCTGCCAGTCTTTTGAAATGATTGGCAGGTTAGACAGGAAAAGACTAGGAAGAAAGGCCAGGAACTTAAGAAGGAAGACCAAAGGAATTCTCCCTGGCATCAGACTGTAGTGTAGCATGAGGAAGGTATGCTTCTGAAAGCATCAAGATCCAGAACCTGGAACTGGTTCTGAATTTTGGGATAAGGTGGAGAGCTGGCCAGAGGGTTCCGACATGCTGCATGAGCATAAGTTAAATCAGAGAAAAGTCTAATGTGGCAGACCTGGTGTTTAAGTCTCAGAAAAAGGGTACATGATCTCCATGTCCACTTGACTCCAGTCTGGCTAGGTCCACCAACCAGAAAATCCAACTGCTTCAGTCAGGCCTCACCAAACCTACCATTTTACCCTCTCTCCCTACTCTGAAGACGTGTGCTGCCCCCAAGAAGTGACAGCCACTGGTCAGGGTCAACGTATAGATGAAAAAATGGGAAATACACAGGTCTCCATGCATGGGTGGTTAAGTTACAAATTGTACAGTATTTAGCTTGCCTACCTGTCTGTTGTTGGCTCCAGAGAACAATGTCCCAGCAGTCTAGACTCTGACTAGCACTCCTGATTGGTGATCTGATCAACCAGACTCTTGGACACAGTGCTCACAGCCTGATGTATGAATCACTGGCCAGATGATCAGGTATCCTTTGAAGGGAATTATCAAGCTCTATCTTGAACACTGTGAGAGGTCGGCTAGTTATGCCCTTTATGTTTAGAGGGAGATTGTTGAAGTCTTTGGCCATGACACTGATAAAACAGTCTCTCAGCACACCAATTACCCCTCTACATTTCAAGGGAGCTATTGTGCACCATCACAGGAGGCAGGAAAGAGGAGCAGAAGCCATCTACACGCATGTGAAGATAGTGCACAAGAGTCCCCGCTCACCACATGAAGATTGCACCCATGAGAGGGGAGTGAAAGGAGGGAGGTTATGGGAAAGCCATTGAGTATAGTTAACCCATCTCGAGGTAACTCACATATATTTATATAAATAGGAGCTGCCTCAAATAGGCCACAATAGTAGTGTGGTTGAGGACTAGAACTGCATACTACACCTGTATCAGGTGTGTCCGTGGACACACCTGACACAGGTGAGGGTGTGGGAACCATCTCCATGGGTGAGATGAGTGACCCCACCCGTGCGGCTCTAGTCCTCAGGTAGAATAATGTACAGGACTGGATCCGTATGTGTGTGGTGGTGGGCACACTTGTCATAGGTGAGGGGGAGTTGGGAAACCATCTCAAGTGTTGAGAGTGGTGGTCCCGCCCGCCTGCACGGTGCTAGTCCTCAGGTTGAATAAGAGCAGGAGGGGGGACCACATGCCTAGGAGACCAGGTATATTATGTCGGTTAGGGGAAAGCATGGGAAGATAAGTGGCACAACAGGGTGAGGTAATAGGAGTGTAGGGGGAGGGGATAGCCCGAGACAGGGGAGCCATCTGCTCACCGGAGGCTGGGGCAGAGAAGGCAGTCAAGCATCCTCTCTTTCGTGTTTTGAAAAAGGGTAGTCTGTTTTATGTTGACAATCTGAAGCAGTATAAGCCTCCATGATGTCGGTACATCAACACTCGGAGGGGTGAATGTGCGATGAGTGTACCTAGTTGTACTCGCCTAGATGCGCTCGCCTAGTTGTACTCACCCGGGGCAGCAGCAGCAGGTAGGTGTTTACACTATTGAATAAATATATGCAATTTTAGATCAAACCCAGGAGCTCCACCATTACACACATCTTAGGTGGTGGTTTAAGGAGTACTGACTTGATCGAGGTGAAGGGATCTTATTTATATCTTATATAGATAGGAGCAGCTTGTATGGGTCAATAGGCCTTCTGTAGTTCCTTTACTATAATGTTCAAATAATGAGTGCTTGATCTGGTATACTTCATTACAACAACGGCTGAAGGGTGAGGTGGGCTGCCACACATGAAACTTGTTCAGTACACGAACACAGCTACAAGGAAGATATCTGGTTTATTTCTTCTTCTCTCTACAGTTTCCATTACAAATTAATCATTCTGTATGAAAAAAATATTTAATTTATTAAATGTTTTGCACATAGGCAGGTATGGGTCTAAACTGAAAGTCACATGTATAGGGTTAAGGTGCCATGCAAGGTTTTGTAAGTTCAAACATTAACCATGGAAATTATGCAAGAGGTCGGTATTTACAATACCATATAGTTTAGTTCTCAAGAAGTTATGACAGCATATGATAAAGAAAGCCTGTATGTATTAAATAGGAAATTTAAATACAATATTTGAATAATGCATTTGTATTTTTACCTTTTCCAGTAATCACAAAAGTTTTATCCTTAAATATTAATACTATTTTCGCAAAAACTTACCCATGTTTCAGTTACTTTGGAATAACAAATTTTGTTTCCTCGAGGGGAAATTGCATGTCGTAAATGTTATCAAAAGTGGGCTTGTCTTACTGGTCACAAATGTTACGGTACTTGATTGGCATGAGATTTATTATATAACGCTTTCCAACAAGAAAGTTCTTCAAATGCTTTGCTGGTAAACTATAATTTATATTTGAGTATTCTACAAATTTATCAAATAGACACAAATGTATGCATTAATTACCCCTCAAAGAAACATGTTCATACTCTCATCTCACCTTCAGTAACCCTTAAAAGGTAATTTAATGCACTATCAATGTAACAATCAAAAATATATAATTTCAAATGTAAAAACGAGGAACTTGAGTTGTGACTTATTTGAACACACAAAGGCAAATACAGATGCACACCATTTGCTTTTCCACGGTAATTAAAGAGCACAGTAAAGTCCTGAACACTTTCAATTAACTAAGGAAAATCAGAAAAATACCATAAAAAATAAAATATAAATAATCTAAAAAACAGAAATCCTCCTTAAGTTACAGTGGAATATGTTGGTACACATTTATGCGTATAGAAAGAAGTCTATATATATCATCCCATATGTAGTTAATATTTCCTTTCGGAATGTTGAAGTTCTTTTTGTAGAGAATTTCACATTTTTAGACTTTTCTGCAACAAAATAGTGTAGTTACATTGCTAAATAATGTTGAGGAAACTTTGCTAATAACACATCAGACATATTGATATACTTATAAAGCAGCTTGTCAGAAGAGTAAGTGACCTGGATGTCTGCCAGTAACAGAGCAAGCAAGCAAATATATCCCAAAGAAAGCTTATTTTCAGACATTCATTGAATGTCTATTTTCTTTTCTTACCAATTAGAAGCCTGTAATATTTACCTTCTATATACTGAATTATTTACATATTTAGTAGAGTTTTTCACTGTATTTTCAATAAAATACAGTATTATAAAGATGCAACTTCATCAATACGTCGGCCAACTAGACATTCACTCACTTGTTGTCTCACTCCCTGGGAAACCTGTGAGCAACTTGAGCCATGTCACCTGATACACAACTTACATTTCCCCCTGCCAAAGTCTGACCAGTTTAAAGGTTCACATTTTTTGTTTCTTGTAGCTAATATAATTTAAACTCCTTTAACTGTAAACTAATATGTACACAAACTTTGCACTACTGTCATGAAAGCCCAGCACTGGTACTCTACCCTCTTCATAACTAAGCACTACTTATGGCCTTTACCACAAAAGCAATAGGTTGTGTTGTAAACAAAACTGGCTATGGACATTTGATCCAGCACTACAGCATTCATCAGTTTCCATGTTCCACAGGTTTACTGTTACTTGTAGTGGCAAAGTTCACTGCAAATGCATATTCTTAACTCTTGTTGCCAGTTAAGAAATAGTGCAAGTGTAGATAAGCTGCTTATTTGCAAAGATATGAGAGAGCATTATGCCAGGCTTTTTAGTGGTCAAGGAGACAACCCAAGGCCAAGATGTTTGACAACCAGTCCCCACCGACACTAGGACAGCTTTTCATAGCAAAGTATATACCAAGTAAGTCCTTCACAATTCCCAAGCACTATTAAGTTATTTTTCCCAACAGTAACTTTATTGTCTTTAGTCAAGTATAAACATCAAAGCCTTCAAAAGAAATCGGCCTAGTTTGCGAAGAGGACCCTTTCTCTTCTTGGCAATACTTGGAGTGTCATAAATCGTGGAGTCCACACTAATATCATCCAGAAGAGGTGCATTGGCTTTGTGAGAACCTGAAAATATATATATTTATGAAATGACATATATTAATTAAATAGTACATTATGGGTAAAACATTTACACTAGAGCATTTAAAAAATAAGAGGCATGGATCATTCTGTTATCCACTGCTGCTCTTTTAAGAGAATGGGCTTTTTATTTTATGACCACAAGCATCCACCTTCCTCTGTTCGGTGCCCTGCCACAGTTTTGTTGGGATCGCTGAGAACTCACCTTGTCACTCAGGAGTCTTCCTTCGAGTGCATTCATGGGATTGAAGACCTAGACCGGTCTGTTATAAGTCTCAGTAGACCTTATGTGTCAGTGTTTGGCAAAATTCATTAATAACTTTCACAACTCTAAAGGTCCAGAATAGACAGAGGTGTAGTGGTTGACAACCTTGTTTACATATAGAAGCAGTAATAAACCTACTGTAATTTTCCAGTTACTTTGCACTAATTACATAGACAAACTTAATATGTATCAGGGGATGGAAGGTTGGTTGGATGAAATTTATTCCTTGTGATTATTCTTTTCGTGTCTTGCATGTTTAACCCTTAAATTGCGCATCTCATCATATGATGCTTTGGAGTACTACGCAAGATTTAAACGGCCCGCGGATACACGGGGTTCACCACACCTTCATCAGGGCTCTTGTAAACAGACGCCATTTTTTTTTAAATCGTGGGCCAAATTCCCAGGTGTTAGGGGCCTTAGTATTGAATGAGCTACCAAGCCTGATGCAAACAGCATGAGCTCACAGCACTGCTGTTCAGCTTGTGACAACAGCATCGCCTAAAAATGCCATAATATATTTGTTCATGCTATTATGTAGTGATGATATTATTACAGAAGACCCCTGACTGTGATAAAACTGACCAGGGTTCTGATAATAGCAGGATTGTGGTGATATTTAGCGCTGTGCTCCATGGAGGGAGGAGTAATGCTGTGGGAGGGAGGGTGGTGGCATTATCTTCTGACTGTGTGTGGCCACCTTTTATTGACTGCACTCACCATACCAGCTTAGTGGTTCACTATGGTGAACACAAATGTAGATACTTATATATAACGTGTGTATAGAGGGTATAAACAGCAATAGGAGTAGGTTGGGAGCCGCCATTTTGGTGAGGGAGGTGGTGTCGTCTGCACGACTTATCATGTTGTTTATTGGTGACCACTATGGTCTTTGGGCACCATACCAGTTTACTTGTACAAGTATGGTGAATAAAACAGGTAGATACTTATATATAATGTGTGTATATAGCGTAATAACACCACAAACAGTATTGTTGGAGGAGAAATATTAGTGCGTCTGGCCTTGAGGGCGGCCGCCACCAGCTGACTGTGTGAGTAGCTACGTCTTTGTGCCTTTACTCATCATACAAGCTTAGATGTACAGTTATGATGAACAAAACATGTAAATACCTATATATAACATCTGTATATAAAAGCAAAAACAGTATGGTGGGAAAAGAATGGTGGCAAGTCAGGTGAGGTGAGGAAGGGAGTGGCAGCCAGTGGCAGGCTGCCACTGGCACTGCCACACAGCATGCCAACTTAGTGGTTCGTTATGGTGAACACGAATGTAGATACTTATATATAACGTCTGTATATAGTGAATAAAAGCAAAAACAGTATGGTGGGAGGCGAATGTGGGCGAGTAAGGTGTTGAGGGTGTGAGTAGCAGCGAGTGGCTGGCTGGTGTGTGGCGGTCACTCCTCGTTACTTTTTGGCTCATAATAGCAACTTAGTGGTTCATTATGGTGAACAAAACATGCAGATACTTATATATAACCTGTGTATATAGTGTAATAACCGACAAAGTATTTGTTCACTGTTTGATGAACATAATTGAATCAACAATATGCACACCATATTTTTGAGTACAGCGATGATTCACTCATTTTATTATATAAATATATCACACTACACACTATTGAATAACATTACAGCAAAAAAAAAAAAAACTACGAAAAATCAATCAGACATTGAAATAATTGGGTAATTATCTCTTTGTGGCAACTCCGGCCTGACAGCTGGCGAGCAACAGACCGCCTGGGACGCACGCTGAGTCAGTGCCTGTTTTTTGCAGACTTCCCTGCCCTATAGCGGGCAATATATGCCACTTACGATTTTTTTTTATTATTTTTCCCATGATCAGTGAACACAAATTAAAAGGTTTAGAAGAAAAAATAATTTTTTTTTTTTTTTTGGTATGTGCCTGTGCTAAATACACATGCTAAATAGCCAGGCGCCATACAAGGGTTAAGGATGGTGTTGTTACCTTGGACTTGTAACTGTATCGTTGCAGATCCATTCTGTTCAAACCTTCATTATGGAACGACTTCAGCTTCTGAAGCCTTTTGACTTGAGAGTGATTATTTGGGTGCTCTCAGTTTCTAGCTTTTGTGGTTTCCTGACAAGTTTTCCTTATGAGAGGATGATTTGTCACTTCTTGTTGGCACAAATATGTGCCTTTGTGTCAGGTGCCTTAAAACCCCAAAGGCAGCAGCATTGTGTAGTCAATTACATACAACCCAGAGGATAGATCATGCAGGCAAAGCTCAGGCCTATAATTCCCAACAGGAAAGTCAAGACCTGATCAACTCCAACCACAGATGGTCATGCAGGGGCAGCAATGCCATCTATGGGAGAGAGAGAAGCTGTCCTAAACACATCAAGGATGGACTCAGTGCCAATTAGAACTTTTAGCAGTAGAACAGAAAGCTGACGCACACCAGCTGATATAGCACCAAATTCCTGGCCAGCAGCCAAACACTGCAACTAGGAGTCTGAATTCCCAGTCTTCAGAATTCACCAGAACCCAGACCCCAAGAATATGAAGCTTCTGGAGAAAGCCCAGAGCAAAATTCAAACCAAAAAGTTGAACCTGAAAGTATTGTGTTGTCCCAGTTGTAACTCCAGGAAATTCCCAGGCATAAAGTACTGCCATGCAACTTGTGCCCACAGCATCACTTAATGATGACAAAATAAATAAGTATCTGCATTTATTTATCAATGATAGTGACATAGAAGACCCTGACAGTGAAAAAGATTATATACAAGGTTTAGATATCAGTAACCCGATCCTGCTGATGAGATCCCAAAGCGAGGCAGACAGCCACACCCCTGATTGGTTGCCTCAGCACATCATACAATAAGACTTCATGTTCCTTTGGAAAATGAATGTGTGAAAAATTATTCATAATGTTTTCAACAACAGGTGAGCATGTGTGTGGCTATACTGTTCATGTCCATATTAGTGACACAAAATGTATGTGTGTATCAGTGTTCTGCATATTTTATTGTAGATATTTCTCATATTACACACTTTAGCATAATATGACTGAAAAAACAAGTGATTGAAATAAATTAGTATAAAAACAGTATATTCGCAGTAACTCCTGCCGCCCACCTAGCGCAGGTGACCTCCAGAGGGCATCTCATCAATCAGCGATCATGAATCAGTGTTGTCATCTCCGGTGGCAGCTTGCCCATAGGAGCCTACTGAGCTGCAGTCCCTCCAGACACTCAGGTTTATGACTCCATCAACCTCGCTAGAATAATCAGCATCTAACAAATGTGTCAACAAAACATTATTTTCAATAAATTTATAACGGAATTTTTAACATGTTTATTAAAACAAGACACAAATAGAGGTTTGATGCTGTAGGATTTATTGACGCTACATCTGGCAATGTTTTTCCACGAGCCGCCACTGATCATTTCCATATTGACCCTCTCCACCACAGCCAAAGTTAGCTACATAAAATTTTCTGAGGGGAACCCCATTTGGCTTCCTGAAGCTATCATACACTAATCAGTGCTATCAGTCCCAGAGTTCTATTTGCTTACTGGGGACCATGAGCCAGAGCCTGGCCCCTCCTCAAAGGCGCAGGGAGCAATGGCCTATGATCACTTCACATTTAAATGTTATCCTCTTTGGCCCCACCTAGGGAAGCCACCCAGAAAGATAGGTGAATCAAAACAAACTTGCTGTATGATTAGAAACAAGACCGCAACCCCAAAATTGCCAAAAGAACTCACCAACAATGAAAACAAACAACCAAAATTTTTTAACACTAGACCCCCACACTAGATTTCTCCACCTCTCCATTCGTTTGGGGAAAGAGGGAGCCAGCCCAGGTCAATCGGGCCTCTCACAGGTTAGTTCTAGACTAATGTGAGTGCCTGATAATTGTCGTTGCTTTGGATCCGGTCTCCCATTTTTTAGTGATGTTTTCTAGGGGAGCCCCATAGGCTCCCTGAAGCTAACTGAACTGATATGTGCTATATTAGTTATTAGGGGTCATCAGTCACTTGGAGTTCTTAAACATACCGGAAACTAGTGCCAGAACCTGATTTCCTCAGAGAGGCGCAAGGAGCAATGGCGTACAACCACTCTACCTTGCGGTGGTTTCGGAGGCTCAACATCCCCGCGGCCCAGTCCTTGACCAGGACTCCTCGTTGCTGGATTGGTCAACCAGGCTGTTGGAAGCAGATACTCTCAGCCTGACATTGATCAGGTATCCTTTGGAAGTGTTTATCAAGTTCTCTCTTGAACACTGCGAGGGGTTGGCCAGTTATGCCCCTTATGTGTAGTTAAAGCACGGCAGTACAAGGTTTCTTGGTGGGCTTTCCGTCATTTTCTTTCTCTTTGGCGGGTCTCGTTGGTGTTGGACAAGATTGTTTTGACCTTTCTCTCTCGGCTCCAAGGACTCCATCAAGCATTGATTTATCATTGATCTGTTAGAATGCAACACATTCACTGTATCAAATAATATAAACATGGAAAATATTGGAGGACCAGGTCCTAAATCTACACAGTAAAATAACAACACTCTGGAGTAAATGATATGGAAGGAAATGCAGAATAGGACCAGTGAAAAGCAGAGGTGTTATAGGCACAATCAGAGAACACTGTCTGAACATCAGAGGTCCACAGTTGTTCAACATCCTCCCAGCAAGCAAAAGAAATATTGCTGGAACAAATGTGGACGTCTTCAAGAGAAAAGTGGATAGTTTTCTTCAAGAAGTGCCAGACCAACCGGGCTGTGGTGGATATGTGGGTTGACCAGTCCAACAATGAGGAGGCCTGGTTGACGACTGGACCACAAGGTCACTGAGCCCCGAAATCATCTCAAGGTAACCTCAAGGTAACCTGTGAGCCACTCCAAGCAACAGCCTATTGGACCAAGCTTTCACAAGCCAAGCCTGGCCCCAGGCTGGGCTTGGGAAGTAGAACTCCCAGAACCCCATCCAGGTAAAATATCCAGGAACAATAATATTCTTTGCCCAGTATTCTGAATGCCCACCAATGTCCAGAGTACTGTACCTGGATTGTACTTGGATGGAGTTCTGGGAGTTGTTCTACTTCCCAAGCCCAGCCGGGGTCAGGCTTGACTTGTGGGAGCTTGGTCCAGCAGGCTGTTGCTTGATGTGACCTGCAGGCCTGCATATCCACTATAGCCTGGTTGGTATGGCACTTCTTACAGAACACTGTCCATTTTTTTCTTGAAGATTTCCATTTTTGTTCCAGCAATATTTTTTATACTTGCTGGGAGGATATTGAACAACCAGGCACCTCTGGTTTCTGGTTGTTCATACAGGGACCTCTGGTACCTGGTTCCTTTGTACAGTGTTCTCTAATTGTGCCTATGGCACTTTCTGCATTTCTATCCATATCATTCACTCCAGTATGGTGTTATTTTACTGGACAAATTTGGGAAATGACCCTTCAGTATTTTTCAAGTACAGTATTGTACTGTATATACAGTATATTATTTGATACCTCTCTCGTCTCCTTTTGTCTTCAGTATTGTGAGCTGGTGCAGCATGCGCTACTCATGGTCCCCCTCTAGGTACTGTTGCCCTCTCACTCAGGATGACTGGGTGAGAACTCGCCCACGATTTTTTCCAAGATGGGGTCTTTTTATTGCAGACCAGAGGAAGACGACATGAGCCCCGTGTACCCGCGAGAGTTTTAAATCTTATGCTATCTTGAGGTTATCTTGAGATGATTTTGGGGCTTAGTGTCCAGGCGGCCCGGTCCTCAACCAGGCCTCCTTTTTATTAACCCCCCCCCCCTTGGGAAGCAGCCCGTAGCAGCTGTCTAACTCTCAGGTACCTATTTACTGCTAGGTAACAGGAGCATCAGGATGAAAAAAACATTTTGCCCATTTGTCTCCGCCTCCATTGGGGATCGAACCCGGAACCTCAGGACTACGAATCCGAAGCGCTGTCCACTCAGCTGTCAGGCGCCTACATTTATGCTACATATAAAACAATCATTAGTTGATGTGCACACCAAGCTGCAGGGAGTTACTGAGGGGAGCCAGCATAGAAAATAATATTTTGTGTTTATATTTTTATAATTAATTGTACTATTTATATTTTAAATTTGTATAACTTTTCAAATTGGGTTTACAGTACTATATTAAATGTAATTAAAATTGATTTATACAGTATTTAAATAATTAAATTAGTTCTTTAAATCAAATAATGACAATATTTAACTTATTTAACTACTGTATTTAACAATATCTGACGCACCTTCCTTAGTGTGTGTGCAGGCAGATTTGGCCACATTGGAAAACCAGACCATAAAATCTGTGTACCGCTTAATTTCTTCATCTGTAACACTCCTGTAGCCTTTAGCTACAACCTCGAGCACATCAGCCTAAAGAGAACAAGAAAGAGTTATTAGGCAACCATAAGCATAATTATCTATTTCTAGTTTCTATATGATAAAAGCATTGTAATAAATTCATAAACATATTATGGGCAATGTATTTAGAGGGACTAGATTTTTCCAAACTACACTTCATCAAATATTTACCAATAATAAACCATACTCGTAGTCCAAAATACAAGCGAACCTCTAACTCACCAAAGTGATAAGCTGGATGCTGATCTCACCAAGATCATCAAGGTTGAGGAGTGAACTTAGTCCCCCACCAACCACTGCCTTTGCTTCAGTAGGAGTGTCATAGTCACTGGCATGGGCCGAGTCTGGCCGATCGTGACCATCTTCCAATTCTTGTAATCTTTCATCGGAGTCTGTGCGGCATTCCATAGTTTCTCCTACAATACAAGACAATAACACAGTGTTACAAATATTTATCATTGTTTCCCACTGCAGAAATGTCTTGCTTGCATGATTACTGCAATCCAATGTCTAGCTTTAACAGCTTCTTAGATAAGATTTTAGGCAACACTGGATCACAGAGGAGCAACAGTCACCTCATTACAAAGGAGCAACAGTTACTGAATTACAGAGTACCAGTCATTGAATCACAGAGGAGCACCAGTCAGGGATTTGCGGAGAAGCAGCAGTTACTGGATTACAGAGGAGCAACAGACACAGGATCACAGGACATACTAGTACCCCTTTTAGTGATTATTGAATGTGACCAAAAGAGAGGAATAATCACATGCTTGTATATCAAATAAAGTTGTGTAGCAAGTGTTATTTCTGCTACTGCTGGGACATTCCACAGTGCTTTCATGATCTGAGAGGGATATACAAGCCATATTACAATGAGAGAGTGCATGTGTGGTGTGTGTACAGTATTATTATTATTATTACAGTATTATTATTATTTCATGATTGAATGTCAGGCAAATAAACCAAAATTACATAGACAAAGCTTAAATTATGATTATGAAAGAGCGTAGGGGCACATGGTGAGTTGTGAAGTGACCAGTGGTCCAGAGGGAGGTGATCGAGATAATGTTGGGCAAATGCAACCATCCAAGGTTTTAAGGTGAAGGAAATATATCCTTAAGTTAAAACTTACAACATTAAGCAACAATAGGTGAACATTAAAACACAGAAAGAGTAAACAAAAAAAGAAAGAAAAATGAGCCGAGGCAAAGTAACCATACGAGTGGACAAAGAAATATTATTGTACAATGTAAAGATAATAGGGGAATCAACAAATAAAAAAGGGATAGTGAAGCCAACAGATTAAAGGAGTAAAGAACACAAATATGAGTTGTGCTATCCAATGGGAAAACCACTACTGGAAAAAATAAACACCTTAACCCTTTAGTTGCACTAGACATCATATGATGCATTGAGAGACGCAGTAAATTGTGCTCCTCATCATATGATGCTTTGGAGTACTACGCAAGATTTAAACGGCCCGCGGATACACGGGGTTCACCACACCTTCATCAGGGCTCTTGTAAACAGACGCCATTTAAAAAAAAAAATAGTGGGCCAAATTCCCGGGTGTTAGGGGCCTTAGTATTGAGTGAGCAACCAAGCCTAACGTGCGCAGCATGAGCTCACTGCACTGCTGTTCAGCTTGTGACCACAGCATCGCCTAAAAATGCCATAATATACTTGTTCATGCTATTATGTAGCGATGATATTATTACAGAAGACCCCTGACTGTGATAAAACTGACCAGGGTTCTGATAATAGCAGGATTGTGGTGATATTTAGCGCTGTGCTCCATGGAGGGAGGAGTAATGCTGTGGGAGGGAGGGTGGTGGCGTTGTCTTCTGACTGTGTGTGGCCACCTTTTATTGACTGCACTCACCATACCAGCTTAGCACCAGTTCACTATGGTGAACACAAATGTAGATACTTATATATAATGTGTGTATAGAGGGTATAAACAGCAATAGGAGTAGGTTGGCACCTCTAAAACATTAGAAAGTTCACTTTTGCAAACAGACTGGTAGATGGTTGGAACAAGTTAGGTGGTGGTGGAGACAAATCACCTGTCAGTGGACAGTGGACCTAGGAGCCTAGATTGTTTCCTCCAAGGAGTGCCGGACCAACCGGGCTGTGGTGGGTATGTGGGCCTGCGGGCCGCTCCAAGCAACAGCCTAGTGGACCAAACTCTCATAAGTCAAGCCTGGCCTCGGGCCAGGCTTGGGGAGTAGAAGAACTCCCAGAACCCCATCAACCACGTAACCCTTAGTACAGTAGTTTCAAAGCATCATATGATAAAGAGTACTGTACATGAAAGATGGGACACCAAGATCATAGCTCTCATCCTGTAACTACATTTGGATAATCTATCTAGAAAATCTGGAACCTGAAAAACCAGCAACTCCTGAAGCTGTCAGATACATGTGACATCAGGTGAAGGACTGATGTTTGTTGATATGGAGAGGTGACAGCTCCTGTGGTGCAGCCACCTAGTGGTGGCAAGCTCCTGCTAGGAGTGTACGACTTAACTGCTGACTGGATATTATGCTCTATTGTTTACTTTTTGCGAAGCTTGCAGTTATCCATTTTGCTTTGTCTCCTTTCTGGGGGTTTGTTTCTTCAACGAGGGTGATTATAAATCCTCTTATCCCTGCGACAATGTGAGGGGGAAAATCCAGGTTTTGGCCTCTGGTAGGCTATTAAAGGTCCCACAAGTGTGATGTAAGTTATAGGCATGGAGCTAACTGTGTGGCTAGCAATGGGGAGCCGTTGTTTGACCCCTCTAGAAATAAATCTGGTCAACATTTCTTTAATTGAATCTTGAGTAATGTCTACTGAACAGTAGGAAATTTTAGCTTTCAAAAGTCTCATCTTGACTTGTTGTCTATAGGTAGCATCATTTTAAGTAAGAGTCCAGATTTGAACCCCTGCTCAGTATACCATCAATCTATATGTGGACAGTTACCTATTACTCCTTCCCTACATGTGTGAACTATACACAAGAAGTGTTATGGCTAGGGTCAGCTTTTAAACAAACAAACCTTACCAGTTTCATTGCAGGTTGCAGTAGACACATCAGAAGGTACGATGTGCCCGTCACTGTGATCAAAGGATGAGTCACTGTCCTCTTTCTTGTGCACCTGCTGATAGAACTTTAATTATAACAAAGAAATGAGCTTGAATTCATGTGCCTTCACATTTATATACTTCTTTCCATTTATATTTTTGTATATATTCTAAGTAAACAAAATAACATTAAGGTCTTGAAAGAATTGGAAACTTAAATACTGTAATCACAATATATGTACAGTACTGTATTTCAGTATATTTGGCCACAAATAGGCAAAGATGTGTAAAAATTAAAGGGCACGTGAAATTGGGGTATATGAAGATAGTTTAGCAACCAATCACAGTAGTTGTGTAAGATGTGCTGCTACAACTCTTCTGGCTACACTTCAAGCCTGTCTAACCTCACCTCACCTCACCTCACCTTCAGTTAGCTTGGGATCAGTTATGATTGTTTAAGTGACATTAAAAACTATTGTATTTGTGCCCTAAATTTTTTGAAGAAAAGATTCACCACAAAGCTTTTTGTTTATATCCCCTGTTTGTGTTATTTCAATCAGTTTAGTGAATAAATTTCAAACACCAACTAGCTTTTTCTCTATTCCTGTGATTTTTCACATAATCACACCAAGTGGTGCAGTGCTGCCGGAGCACCACTCTGGCACCTCTGCAAGTGGATGATGGAATGGGGGAAAGGGAGAGAGGATGAGGGGAAAAGGAGAGAGGATGAGGGGAAAGGGAGAGAGGATGAGGGGAAAGGGAGAGAGGATGAGGGGAAAGGGAGAGAGGATGAGGGGAAAGGGAGATGATGGCTTGTGGGTGATGGTTGATCGTGGCAGGAAAATGTTTGTACGGTATTACATCACTAATAAATTAATACAGTAATGTTATGATATTTCTTCATTTTTGTTAAGATTTAATAATATTTAAATTTTTATATATTTAAAAAGTAAACAGGCTGAATTATATTGTACAAATCTGAAACATAATACCCAACACACATGAATGCTTCCTGTCCATTTATGCGAGACAAATGGTATGAAATAAAGTTGCCAACCTACTGCCTTGGATACAAATATTCAGCGATAATGTTCATGGCTTTAGCAGTACAGTAGTTCATTAGAAAGGTATTCTTTATTCATACAATAGTATTAGTATATTTTAGTATTAAATACTAGGCAGGCAAAACGACAAAACTGCTACACACAACTTTACATAATTTAGTGCTTTATGGGGATGGTTCTAGCGTCGTGTGAAATACCGAGTTGGTAACTCTGCTTCTGTGTTTCAGTGGCATTAGTAAATGGTGGCTGAAAGTCTGTGGATTTCTCTCTACTGCAATACAGAAGCATTTTTTTTCTCACAAACAACCCCATCATGGCCTCTAAGCAATGTTGACTACCTTCTTTTGTAAACAAAATGAAAAGTGTAAGGCAAATAACATACAGACGACTTATAACGATAACAGTGAAAGTGGCAAAAGTTGTGTCTCGACTGCTTCTAGTTCAAATTTTCAAACTGGATCCATGTGCAATTCAGAAAGTAATGGTGCTCTGAAGTCTAACTTGTATCCCTGTTCAGGTGTTTGGACTTAAGAAGCACATCAATAAACTGGAAAAGGTGCAAAGACTTGCTATTAAGTGGCTCCCAGAACTGAAGGGCAAGAGCTACGAGGAGAGGTTAGAGGCATTAAATATGCCAAAACTAGAAGATAGAAGAAAAAGACACAATATGATCACCACGTACAGAATAGTAACAGGAATCGATAAAATTGATTGGGAAGACTTCCTGAGACCTGGAACTTCAAGAACAAGAGGTCATAGATTTAAACTAACTAAACAAAGCAGCCAAAGAAATATAAGATAATTAACTTTCTCAGAGTGGTAGACGGTTGAAACAAGTTAGGTGAGCAGGTGGTAGCGATCAAAACTGTCAGTACTTTCAAAACGTTATACGACAAAGAGAGCTGGGAAGACGGGACACCACGAGTGTAGCTCTCATCCTGTAACTACACTTAGGTAATCACATTTAGGTAATCACAGCCATGTGTAACATAGGAGGAAAAACGAAAATAGGCAAGGAAAACCCCCGAATATGGACCAAGTAGCAGCCGGTAACGCAATGCACACAACCAACCACAAAATGTGTTGTGGAGGTCGCAAATACACAGAGGGATGCCATGGATATCAGGGCGCAGCCAGGCACCAAAGATAGGCAAGGAAGGAGTGTCCAGAGATCAGAGACCAAGCAAGGAAGGAGGACACAGAAGCACGGACCGAGGGAACGAAGTAGTGTCCAAATACAGTACTGTATAGGAAAAAGACCAAGGTGCCGAAAAACAAAACAAAAAGTACCGAAATGTGGGGCAGTGCCCCCCACAGGACAACGAAGAACAAGATACATGGACAAAGTCAAGTCACTGAAGACACACAAGGTGTCCAAGCAAAACACACAACACCTAACAACCCTGTTAGGAGCCATCGACGCAACCCTGCCAAGCGAGGAAGTGACAGAGTAAACAGGGATGGAGTAGTGAACAAGGGGGGGTACACGCACAAGGGGACACAGGAGGAAGCCGAGTACCCAAATGAGCCATGGACATTAAAAAGAACCTGACCAATGTCAGGAGGAGGTAGGAAATGGAATGCACTAGGAAGCAATGTGGTGGAGGCAGACTCCACACACACGTGCAAATATAGATAAGACAGAGCTCAGTAGGCTCAGGAAACTGCAGACCTGTCGACTCACAGTAGAGAGGCGGGCCCAAAGAGCCAGGGCTCAATCCCCGCAAGCACAACTAGGCAAGTACCCCATCAAAAGTCGAGAACCAGCACCTGGCCGGCAGAGACGCCAGACAGAACAATCTCACCTGCAGAGCTGAGACACGACCGTGCCACAACACAGTCGAGTCGAGTAACATACCAGGAGCATCGCTAGTGGTTTGCCCAAAACGCCACGCATACTAGAGGCTGTGGGCATTGTATGTACTTTTACCTGAATAAAAATATGAATTCAAAAATGAAATATGTCTAGAGGTACGTGCTCAGCAGAAGACGAGGTGCAGTACAGAGGTGGAGGTGGTACCACTCTGAGCCACCCCACACCCGGAAGCAGAGAAAAGAACGAAGTGATATCCCCACATATAAAATCCAGAACACCCCCCAGCATCTAGAGGGCTATGACTGGAGAGAGAAAACGAGCAAGAAGCCAAAGAAAACCGCAATAAACGACGCGGAACACATGAGTACACCGCCCAGAAACAAAACGAACAGGTACAAACCGCACCACCCGTCTACTAGGTGGCGCGGCTCGTACACCAGTCAGACATACACATATCGTACAGACACCAGCAAGGCGTACATAACGAATACGAGGAACATCGAAACAGGAAGGAGAGATGATGTGAAAACAAAATAAGGCGAAATAGAAGCAAAAAAAGACAAGGAGGACGGAAGGGGACGAACAAGCCCGAAAAAGGATCAAAGGGAAACCTCACCAGAAGTCAACAGACGTTCCAATAATTTTGGAAGGTACGAAGAGGTCCGCCAACCAACGAGAACCATGACAAGCAAGCACAAATACACGGAGGTATATATGGAAAAAAAAAACACCCCTGATCAAGGGACATGCAGGTCCCCGATACGAAGAGAACAGTATCACAACGTAAGCGTGAAAAGGGTGAGGAAAAGGGAGTGAAACATACCCCCAGAAATGACGGGACCAACAGACTCGAAGGGACACGGAACCGAACCCAGGGAGGGGTTACCTGGTACCTGGTTGATGGGGTTCTGGGAGTTCTTCTACTCCCCAAGCCTGGCCCGAGGCCAGACTTGACTTGTGAGAGTTTAGTCCACCAGGCTGTTGCTTGGAGTGGCCCACAGGCCCACATACCCACCACAGCCCAGTTGGTCCGGCACTCCTTGAAGGAAACAATCTAGTTTCCTAGTTTTCGGGGTAGACCCGAAACCAACACAAACGCAGAGGGGGAAGGAAAACCCCACTCTGAGGAACTGCAAATCTTGCACCGAGGGTACAATGACCCAAGTGGGGCAAAATTGGGCCGAGGCCCCCCAGGCAACCGCTCCCCCAACCCCGGGAACCTCTACGGCAGGACCCGGGGCCGAGCCATACCCCCAAAGCCCCAGCCTCACAAGAAAAAAGCCAGGGCAGCCGTACAAAACACTAAGGAAGGGATCCCACTGGTCAGACCCATACGACACGGCTGGAGGAACAGGCTCGAATGCCTCCGCTGCCACCCCAGAAGAGGAAAACCACTGAGACCACCTGAGTCTGCTCAGGCCAACCCAACCAGACCCTGCTCCAACCCGAAACCTGCCTATGGTCTGGAGCAGGAAGCAAGGGTAGAAAGTATGCACAACAGAAGGGGAAGGACTAGGAGGAGCGGAAGGAACCAGACCCGAAGTGACCCCCACCCCCAAGTCCGGACACCAACAACCAAAACGGGCCAGTCTCGGGGCATCCGGGGGCCACAACTAACCTAGAGCATTGCAGCAACCTAAACCTAGCATGCAACGCCGCAGCCGCCTCCACCCGCTTACCATGCCCAGTGGCCTGGGTGAACGAGAGCATGTACAGACAACACCCGTCGCACGACTCCGGGTCAAAAGAAACAACGACCCAACAATCAACATGGTGGAGGCACAGCTGGTAAGTGTCACCCTGAGACAAGTGGACAGATCAACCTTCAAACTCGCAAGACGCGAAGGGGGGGGGATTCAGGGGTCACATCCATCGGACCACAGAGCCCCTGTGGGGTTTCCCAGGGCCGTTAGACATGGTTACACGCTAAGGGAAGCCCAGGCAAGGTACTGTGAACCGGCACCAAAGTCTACCAAACAAACTTCTAAAAGCTGAACCCCCGGGACGTGTCCACTCACAGGGGCCAAGTGGGGAGTACGACCAAAAAGAAAATATATATATAAAAACTCCTAGAACAGCAAAGGGGGACCACAAAGGCAGACCCCCCACCAGGCAAAAACAAAAGAAAACCCCCGCAAGAGGACAACGTACCCAGGCGGAACAGAGCCGGCTACTGTTATTGGTGAAAACTAGCTGTGCAGTATCCCGCACCCCTACCAGTGATGAAAACTACCTCTTACCCAGAGATAAACAAGGGCAACAAAACCCCAGCTGACTTCAAGGACAGCCCAGTACCGAGCAGTAAAGGACACAGCAAAGGTAGAACCCAAGGTGACTTGTGGAAGGTAGCCCCAAGCCCCAAGGACAGTACTTACAGGACACCTAGGGAAGAGAGCCCTAGGCGCATGCAGCCCGAGTACCATGGAATCTCACTCTTGGCTCACACCCCACCGTTAGAGACCGCCCACACCACAAGGCACAGAACTGAAACAAAACTGGAGCCAGAGGCACTCGACCGGCCATCAGCGAAGAACTGTCGGTTGGATTGCTGGCACGGATGGTCTGGGGCTCCCCCTACCCCCTCCCGGGGAGGGGGGGTTGCACAGATGGCAGTGCGACGACGTGATGACGTCATGCTAGTTTGATAATTTTGTTTTGGGAGTTCTGTCCACTCGTTCAGCTTTTGGTAGCAATATTTCACCAGAATAGGGGTTTGTTTTGGGACGCCTACCTTTTTGGGTGCCTGTCCCGGTCGATGGCAGACAGAATGCTCCCAACCACAGGGGGATTTCTACAGGCCATTGCTCCTCGTGCCTCTCTGAGGGAGCCAGGTTCTGACTTGTGGTCCCCGGTAGGCAAGAACTCCAAGCACTTTGACTGATGCCAGAAAGTTATACATATCCATTCAGCCTGGATAGCCCAGGTAGCCGGAGGGGCTCCCCCCAGAAAATATTTTTGGGACATCGATGAAAGTAACATATAATGACATTGGACAATGTATTTATATGATATATAACAAAACAGAGCATAATAACATAGTTACTCATTATTGTTTGTGTTATTATGTATTACTCAGCAATGCTATAAAGGCACCAACTGCATATCCACTTTCTGGACACTTCTTACTACTATTTTTTTTCTTTGAGCATTGGACAGGTGCTTGCAACTCTTTATTATTGCATTATCCTTCAGTTCCAGTTATTAGGAGCTGTTTTCTTTATCAACAAAACGTTCCTATTTTTAACAAATTCGTCTAAAAACAATTTCTGAAAATATTTTAATGAAAATATCACGACACTGAAGCCAATAAGTTGGAGATTTGTTTAACATTTTTAAGTTACTTTTTATATAATTCAAATATTTTTCACTACCAGGCCCCCAATATGCGCAGTAATATGTGCAGTCTAAGGATTAAAGAGTTAATGAGCTCCGAAGCACCAGGAGGCTGTTTTATAATGACAACAGTTGACTGGGAAGTTTTCATGCTTGTAAACTGTTTAATAAATGTAACGAAAGTCGTCAAAGATCGAGGAAAGATGTACACGTTTGTAAGTACTTGCGTAACCGCTTCATGAATCTGGCCCCCTGACTCTTTTCAAACACAATGTGATCACCAGTACTGGAGTACCAGCCACACACATTTATGTAGTGTATTTTGCTTCACTACATAAATGAAGCAATTTATGATTCATAAATTATTATGCTTCCTGAAAACATTAGTAAATTTCACAATATGACAACAAATTAACAAAATATTACCTCACTGCTGGTTGAGCCTGCTGAGGCATGGGTGCCACTCCCGGAGCTGCCAACAGTTCCATTATGGCTTGATCCTTCACTGGGTGTTGGAGTTGGTGTTGGTGTCAGACTTGGACTGTGTGACATGGGTCCTAATGCTTCAATTGGGGTAGATGTCTTGTTTACATCATGATCTGGATCAGGATGCAGGAAGGATGTGAGATCGGATGGATCGTCAATGCGATGGTCACGACGTTCCGATCGCGATGGAGATGGTCGTGATAGCAAGCTGAGAAGAATGGCATTAGGTGCCGCCTCTTGGTGATCATCATCGACAAGCATTGGCTCGGGAAGGTTTGAAGGTGCCAGTGTTATATTTGGTGGTAGGTCGTCCAATGATACATTGGGAGGCCCACAGTTATCACCAACATCCACTGATAATGGCTCCATTGTTGACATACCTGAGAAAGCAACACGGCGCCCTCCTCTTGAACGTGGAGTTTCTGAAATATCATTGTCACTGTCACTGTCAATGGCACAGTTATCATCACGCATGGGCTCAGGAGGCTCAGTATAATGTAATTCAAACTCTATCGGCGTCCCAACTCGTTCATCAACATTTCCACTTTTTTCATCTACAGTTTCCTCACAATCTTCAATTGCATCATGAGCATCACTACACTTATATTTCTCCTTCTCTTTCACTATTACTGTGCTGTTCACATTAACAGCTTTCTCACTTGAAAGTTTTAAAGGAGATTTCATAGTAGTCCTTTCCTCTCCATGCTCAGCACTACTGTTCACAGCATCATACGCATCTGTTTCACTGTCACTGCTTAAGGGTGGGTTTCTGACTGCTGCTCGCACTCTGTCCTCAGCTATTGCACTGCTATCACTACTATCACAGCCCGAAGATGTCACTCCACTACTACTGCTCTCTGATGGTGTTCGACCTGCTGCATTTACCTTCTCTAATCTTCTTGGATTCTTTTTTTCAACAATCTCTTCACTACTCTTTGACAGACCGATGGCAGAATCTGGGGATGGCACACATATCTGATCCCTTAAGCCTTTGTCAGGACTATTTTCTTCATTGGGTTTAGACACCAACACTGAATCCTCCAAGACACGAGTCGGTACTCTGGCATTCTCTGCAATTTTCTTCTTTTTCTTTGGCTGAAACAAAATAATAAATATTTAGACACATATTTAATTACCATAACCGGTATTTTAAATAAATAGCAAAACAGAGAGAGAGAGAGTACTAGTAATATATAAAATGCTCAAAGGAAAACAATTATTTCTGCTTTTATGAATTTCTATAATGAAAATGACTTCCCTCTTGATTCATGTTAAAATTACAATATATTCACAATAACAGAAATAATAAATATAATGATAATCAATAATTATATGAGTAACAATAATGTATCTTTGCTAATGAAAAAGGTGTCACCAGTCTGGTATATCTAAGGATACAAGTGTTGTAGAGAGTACAAAGTCTTGGAATGATTACCGTGTGCTGTAATGAGTACAGAGTGTACAGTGATTACTGGGTGCTGTAATGAGTACACAGTGTACAGTGATTACTGGGTGCTGTAATGAGTACAGAGTGTACAGTGATTACTGGGTGCTGTAATGAGTACAGTGTGTACAGTGATTACTGGGTACTGTAATGAGTACAGAGTGTACAGTGATTACTGGGTGCTGTAATGAGTACAGAGTGTACAGTGATTACTGGGTGCTGTAATGAGTACAGAGTGTACAGTGATTACTGGGTGCTGTAATGAGTACACAGTGCACAGTGATTACTGGGTGCTGTAATGAGTACACAGTGTACAGTGATTACTGGGTGCTGTAATGAGTACAGAGTGTACAGTGATTACTGGGTGCTGTAATGAGTACAGAGTGTACAGTGATTACTGGGTGCTGTAATGAGTACACAGTGCACAGTGATTACTGGGTGCTGTAATGAGTACACAGTGTACAGTGATTACTGGGTGCTGTAATGAGTACAGAGTGTACAGTGATTACTGGGTGCTGTAATGAGTACAGAGTGTACAGTGATTACTGGGTGCTGTAATGAGTACACAGTGTACAGTGATTACTGGGTACTGTAATGAGTACAGAGTGTACAGTGATTACTGGGTGCTGTAATGAGTACAGAGTGTACAGTGATTACTGGGTACTGTAATGAGTACAGAGTGTACAGTGATTACTGGGTGCTGTAATGAGTACAGAGTGTACAGTGATTACTGGGTGCTGTAATGAGTACAGAGTGTACAGTGATCACTGAGTGCTGTAATGAGTAAAGAGTGTACAGTGATTACTGGGTACTGTAATGAGTAGAGTGTACAGTGATTACTGGGTGCTGTAATGAGTACAGTGTACACAGTGATTACTGGGTGCTGTAATGAGTACAGTGTACACAGTGATTACTGGGTGCTGTAATGAGCTGTAATGAGTATAGTGTGTACAGTGATTACTGGGTGCTGTAATGAGTACAGTGTACAGTGATTACTGGGTGCTGTAATGAGTACAGTGTACAGTGATTACTGGGTGCTGTAATGAGTATATGGTGTACAGTGATTACTGGGTGCTATAATGAGTATATGGTGTACAGTGATTACTGGGTGCTATAATGAGTATAGAGTGTACTGTGATTACTGGGTGCTGTAATGAGTACAGAGTGTACAGTGATTACTGGGTGCTGTAATGAGTATAGTGTGTACAGTGATTACTGGGTGCTATAATGAGTATAGAGTGTACAGTGATTACTGGGTGCTGTAATGAGTATAGTGTGTACAGTGATTACTGGACCCTGGGGCTCCCCCCTTTCCCCTCCCGGGGGGGGGGGGGGAAGTTGCACAGACAGCTGCACGGCAACGTGATGACATCATGCTAGTTTGCTCATTTTCATTTGGGAGTTCTGTCCACTCGTTCGGCTTCCGGTAGCAATATTTTCACCAGAATAGTGGTTTGTTTTGGGCGCCTATCTTTCTGGGTGCCAGACCTGGTCGATGGCAGACATAGAATGTTCCCAACTACACTGGGGTTTCTATAGGCCATTGCTCCTCGTGCCTCTTTGAGGGGGCCAGGTTCTGGCTCGTGGTCCCCGGTAGGCAAGAACTCCTAGCACTTTGATGCCAGAAAGCTAATAGTTACCTATCAGCCTGGATAGCTCCAGGGAGCCGACGGAGCTCCCCCCAGAAAAATCATTAAAACCATGTGGTTAGAACACCTGGAGAAAAATCATATCATGAAAGACAATATGGTTTTCAAACAGAAACATTCTGTGCAACAAACCAACTTAGTTACTATGACAGAGCCACATAAATTTTATAGGAAAGAGATGGTTGGGTTGACTGCATTAATTTTGGACTGAAAAAGAGGCTCTTGACAGAGTCCTACATAAGAAGTTGTTCTGAAAACTGGAATACACTGGATTTGTGACAGGGGGACTTCTGACATGAATGAAAATTCATGTCAGATTGCTGTCCTCATTTTTGACAGAAAAAATGAGGGTGGTAATCAGAGGCAATGTATCACTGGAGAAATATTACATTACTTGTGGTGTACCACAGGGTTCAGTTCTTGCACTGGTAATGTTCATTGTCTATATAAACGATCTACCTGAAGGAATACAGAATTATATAAACATGTTTGCTGATGATGCCAAAATGCTAAGGAAGATAAACAAACTTGGATGATTGTCGTGCCTTTCAAGATGACGTGGACAAAATAAGTGAATGGACAAACACTTGGCCAATAGAATTTAATGGGAATAAATGCCATGTTATGGAATGTGGAATAGGAGAAAAGAGGTGTGAAGGATCCCCGACTTGTATTTCCCTTATTCCAGCTATAAGAGTCATACCTCCCCAATTTGTATATACTTTGAGGCATAGGGAAGAGTTTGGGTGCTTTAGAGGAGAGGCCCAAGTTTACAGTTGGCGACAAATTAGGGTTTTATGAATGGCTTTAGGCTTTTCTGCCAGGAAAATATGGCAGTGGGAGGTGAGCTTTCCCACTGGAGGAGGCCAGGATGCAATGCATTGTGGGAGCCACACCAGCTGCCTGTTGATTGGTCAGCCTCTGGGGCATGGCATCATTGATCAATGACGTGGTGCCTTGGGCATGATGTAATAGGTGGGAGGGCCGCCAACGGCTCGAGGCTGGAAGCAGTGCCAGAGATTCTCCAGTGACGTCAGTGAGCAGAGGTGCACTTGAGAGCTCGCTAGTCTGGGAGGCACTGAAGCCTTAGGAGGGATTTACTCAGCAACAGTTACTGATACCAACGATGAGGAAGGCATGTAATCTCCACGGGAGCAGCTGAGGAAATGCTTTGCTGGTGGGAAGAGGACACCAGAAGCCGGAGGCTGACAAGACCTGCGGTCGTGTGGCAGCTGAGTAGCACTGAGAGGAGCCATGTGTCAGGTTCTGCAGGCTACTAGGAAGGGTAGCTGAGGGAAGCTGAGGAAAAGACAGTTCGAGACTACTGAGGAGTATCACTAAGCAGAACTGCGAGGGATCAGACCCCATCTGTCATTGCGACGTAGAATCCACAGCCGATTTGTAGAGCAATGTAAAGGTAGATAATGTTTCCCTCCCAATTGTCCCTTGAGTTAGGTAGAGATTCTCTCATAGGCAATTGCATTGATTTTGTTAGATTTCCAGATCTATATATAAATATATATATATGTATGCGTATGGTTATAGATTTATATACATATACAGTTTACGTATGAACATTTATTGATCATATTCAGAAGGCATATCATTCATGCAGCGCATTATGTAAAGTATGGGCCAGGATTATGCTAGTATATGTGTAAAAAGATAAACTAGTGCTGCACCAACATTTATCGGATAGTTTTGGTTGGAGGCGGTCTTGAGAGTGGCCAAAGGTGACTGTCCTGAATGTTGCTATTTTTCTACTGGAGTGTCAGAGTTTACTTACCTGTTGGACCTGTGTAGATATCATTCATTAAACCCCCACACTAATTTTACCAGTGTGTTTGCTTTACCTCCCTATCCTCTTTGTGGTTAAAGCGATTTTTTAATTATTGCACACATATTCTTGCATAACCTAATGCAGTATACTGGGAACATATGAATTACCACTGAGAAAAGTGTACTGAGCTGTGTGTGATGGGGGCTCAGTTGGCAACTGCTAGATATATATAAATTCATAGGAAGTTGGAGTGATTTTACCCATGGGCAGGCTCGATTGAGGGGGGCCTGAGCTTCAGTGTCAACCAACTCAATATATAAGGAAGCCTTGGGGGTCGAGCTTACTTCACTCGCTATGGGTGCAAGGCTGGGTTTAGGGAAGGAACCCAAGCCCATATAGGACTGATGTGCTCTCGGAATGTTCAGTGGCTCCCAGTGGAAAGGGGAGAGATCCGCCAAACAGGCCACACACAACATACAAATCATGTGAAAAGGCATTAAAGAACTCAGATAAAGAAAGGTATCTAGGGGTGGTTCTGAATAGAAAACTGGCACCTAAGGATCATATAAATAACATTGTGCAAGAGGCCTATTCAATGCTTTCCAACTTTAGAGTCACTTTTAAATACTTGATGGCAAAATATTAAAAAAATTGTTCACAGCCTTAGTGAGATCAAAATTAGAATATGCAATGGTTGTAGGGTGCCCATATCTCAAGATCATCATCAGTAAACTAGAAAAGTTACAAAGATATGCAACTAAATGGCTTCCAGAACTAAAAAATAAGAGCTATGAGGAGAGCTAAAGGTGTTAAATATACCAAGGTTAGACAGGAGAAGAAACAAGGGTGATATGATGACTACATACAAAATAGCAACAGAAATCAACCAAATTGACAAAGAACAATTCTTGAAACCTGCATCTTCAAGAACAAATGGTCATAGACTCAAGTTAAGGAAATAAAGCTACAAAAAAAAAAAATTAGAAAGTTGTCTTTTGCAAACAGATGGTTGAAACAAGTCAAGTGAGAAGGTAGTGAGTGGATGCCAAAACTGTCAGTATTTTCAAGACGGCCTCAAGGAGGCCTAGTCAGAGACCAAGCCGCGGGGACCTTGACCCCCAGAATCAAAGCAAAGTAACCGCAAGGTAACCACCATATGACAGAGTACCGGAAAGATGGTATATCATGAGTGCAGGTCTCACTCTATAATTACACTTAAGTACGATCTAGGGGTGGGGTCTTGCCGTGATTCTTCGGTGCAGGGGATCGTATTCCAGGGACCTGCCCGAAACGCTACGCGTACTAGTGGCTGTACAAGAATGTAACAACTCTTGTATATATCTCAAAAAAAAAAAAAAAAAAAAAAATATGTAGCACTAGGGAGCACCAAGGGAAAACAGCCATACACATGCAGCTCCATGTACATTTATAGCCAGGGTCCATGCAACAACAAAACAAGGCACAACAAATGTCCATACAAGACTCAGTCCAATAAAGGCTGGCATTTAGCTGAAAAGCATTGGGACCCAATGGCCTGACAGCTGAGTGGTCAGCACTTCGGATTTGTAGTCCTGAGGTTCCGGGTTTGATCTCCGGTGGAGGTGGAAACAAATGGACAGTTTCTTTCACCCCTGATGCCTCTGTTCACCTAGCAATAAATAGGTACCAGGGAATTAAACAGCTGCTACGGGCTGCTTCCTGAGGGATGTGTAACAAAAAAGGAGGCCTGGTCGAGGACCTGGCTGCGAGGATGCTAAGCCCTGAAATCATCTCAAGATAACCCATCACAGCTTGGCGACGACCCGGGAGCCCTACAGCAGATATGTTTTTCAATCTGCATCAGCAACAGCACTAATAGAAATAGCCAGTAGACAGTGAGCCCCCACCTCCCCAAACAAGTAGCAGGGGGTGGGGCGAATGAGTGCACACTTGTTTCAAGAGATTCGATTGTTTTGTAGCGAGTAGATTATCCCAATAATATACTCGCTCCAAACGCATTAGCCTTCTAGCCATTAGCAAAGCTCTTCTTGGTACTAATTATGGCCCTCAAACCTTTCCCAACTTCCTCATACTATTCCTGTCAACCTTTGGAGAACGGTGAAGTGTTCCCCGAGCATAAAAGCAGCAGAGTGGTGAATAATAACTAGTCTACTTTCAAGTGTGGTCTAGAACAGACACTTGTGAGATACCGTACCGACGCTCGGTGCGCTCAACTCGCACCAAAGTATCACCTGCGTACTTCTGTATATTCGACCAAATATATATATATATTATCATAGTGTTTGTGTTTATTGTCACCATACTTTACGTAACAATAGAACCGTTACATTGGTGACCCAGTGAGTGAAAAGAACACCTAGTCACAAACTAGATCTTCGTCTAAACTACCAGGTTTCCAGCATACAAAGCAGATGAACCAGAATTTTGGTTTATGCAGATGGAGGCTATTTTCGACATTTACGAAATTACGACTGAGAAAGCCCGATATGCCTGTACCTTGCCAACACTTTCCTCGGAGGCTATGCACACTGCCACCACTGTCATCATCGCACCATCACCAGACACCAGGAAGTATACCACATTGAAGGCCGCTCTTCTACAGGCAGCGATGAAACGCCGCATTCAACAAAGAGACAAACTCTTCACTGACAAGAGATTAGCAGACAAAACACCAGCCCAGCTTCTGCGGCATATTCAGTATGTAATGAATACTGCATCTGGCCCAGCCCCCAGCGAGATTGTGAGATCACTCTGGATACAAATCTGTCCAAAACACATTCAAGCGGCCCTATTCAGTATGGCTGACGACACCCCATTAGCCCAGCTGGCTACACTGGCAGACTGGCATCATACGACGTCTGATAACGCTACGCTGTCTCATCTCAGTGATACACAGCAGACTACAGACACCCAACAACTCGACATCCTCCAGAACTGGCGTTTCTTCTGCCCAGGAAGGACGTACCATGCGAATCCAGTAACAGTCTCTAGGTGACAGCGAGAACATCGGGGAGAGCTTTGTTCTTACCACCAGAGGTTCGGACACCAGGCCCACAACTGTAGGGCTCCTTGTTCCTGGTCGGGAAACTACTTCGGCGGGGACTGTTAACAGCCAGTGACCCTGCCATTTCAAACACTACACTGCTCTACATATCTGACATCATAACCAAACACCGTTTCCTCGTTGATACAGGTGCAGCAGCTAGTGTGTTGCCTCCCCCACTGGTCAAACCAACCCGTACTCCTGGTTTGGACTTACGTGCCGCCATGGTACGTCTGTCCGTACATATGGGACCCGCACCCTGGTTCTCGATTTCGACTCTCTGGGTCGCTTTATGTGGACTCTCCTCATAGCAGATGTGGAACAACCCATTCTTGGATGGGATTTCCTGCAACACCATCGACTTATTGTGGATCCCGCAGGTGCAGTACTTCGAGCCTCTCCTAGTACCTCTACACAGGTTATCAGCGTCACCCCAGTCGCATCTACGGAACTTCAAGCACTCCTGGATGAATTCAAAGATGTGACCCAACCCGCCAGCCCTCGACCAGAAGTGCAACATACGATTACACATCACATTACTACAATGGGAGCACCTATCATCGCCAGACCACGCCGCCTTGCACTGGAACGATTGGCGGTAGCACGTGCTGAGTTCAACAAACTACAGGAGGCAGGAATAATCCACCCTTCGAACAGTCCATGGGCTTCACCTCTCCATATGGTCCCAGGGGAATGGCACCCTTGCGGGGACTATAGGGCTCTCAACGTTCGTACTCTGCCGGATCGCTTCCCAATACGACACATCCAGGATTTCTCACAGGTATTGAGCAACGCAACCGTTTTTTTAAAAATTGACTCTGTGTGGGCATTTCACCAGTTCCCTGTAGAACCGGCAGACATTCCGAAAACAGCGATCACAACACCTTTTGGACTGTTTGAATTCGTCCGGATGCCTTTTGGTCTACGGAATGCAGCCCAGACATTCCAATCCTTCATCGACCAAGTAGTTAAGGACCTTCCTTTTTGCTGCGCCTATATTGACGATCTGCTGGTGGCCAGTACATCACCGACAGAACATCTGCTACACCTCCGACTCCTTCTCACCCGTCTGCGCAACTTCGGCTTGCAGCTCAACTCCGAGAAGTGTATTTTCCATGTTCCAGAGCTGAATTTCTTGGGACACCATGAAATCCATGAAATCCGGTGAAATTTCACCGACCAGCTAGGTTCCTTGATCAAGTGTTTTTCCTTTCATTCCCTGGGAGGGGGGAGTTCTGTAGCGAGTAGATTATCCCAATAATATACTCGCTCCAAACGCATTAGCCTTCTAGTCATTAGCAAAGCTCTTCTTGGTACTAATTATGGCCCTCAAACCTTTCTCAACTTCCTCATACTTCCTCATTCCTGTCAGCCTTTGGAAAACGGTGAGGTGTTCCCCGAGCATAAAAGCAGCAGAGTGGCGAATAATAACTAGTCTACTTTCAAGTGTGGTCTAGAACAGACACTTGTGAGATACTGTACCGATGCTCAGTGCACTCAACTCACACCAAAGTATCACCTGCGTACTTCTGTATATTCGACCAAATATATATGTATTACCTTAGTGTTTGTGTTTATTGTCACCATACTTTACGTAACAATAGAACCGTTACAGTTTCTTTACATTGTTGAGGGAATTCATTCTGCAGTTGAGGGTTCAATTTCCTTGAACCCAGCAGTGGTCTGCATTGTTCACTGATTTCCTGGATGCTTTACCAGTGAGGTGGCAGTGTCACCTGCTTTCTGTGCCTCTGCTAGGGGCCAGGTTTGCTTTGGGCCCTTGTAAGCCAAAACAATTCTACCGATGATGCAAATCAAGTAGTTAGGAGCCATCTCGATGAGAGAGTTTCAGGAAGCCATAAGGGGCCTCCCCAGAAAAGTTCACTGTTATTTATAATGTAACATAAATGCAATGTATAATAAAAAAATTTCCCCATTACCTCATCCCGCTGACTCTCAGGGGTTGCATGTGGCTCTTCTACCTCTTCCACATCGGAGTCGGAATCCCAATCTTTACCAAGGGCAGTGATGTTTGCACCTGATGTCAAAGGCTTCTTGTTTCCATTATTGGACTGTTTAATGTCCTTCTTTGGGACAGCCCCACTAGCAGGACTTGCAGCTGCTGCTGCTGCTGCTGCTGCTGCTGCTGCTGTAACACGTCGCTTCATGTGACCTTCTGACTCTGGTAATCCATCGAGGTCAGATTCTGATGCTGTCTGTAAAAAAACATTTATTGTATAATAAATATTGAAGCTTTCAATACCACAAGGGCACACACTATTAATACAATATTATTACACTAGAACAGGATTGTACTACATTATTTTTCCTTTTAATTCAAAGACATTAATTGCAAATTTATTTCCAAATATACTGGAAAGTCAAATTATGATAGTCATGCTTGCCTGTTTCATATAAAACATACACTTGCCATTAAATTTAGGTGTTGAAAACATTTACCAACATGAAGATGATTACCTTGAGTACTACTGTAAGAGCTCAGTAATTCAGATCAGGTAACCAAAATCTTTGAGTAATTTGGCATAATTCAAATTAGTTTTTCTGGGGGGAGCCCCGTCGGCTCCCCGGAGCTATCCCAGGCTGATATGCTAATGTCAGACTTTGGCATCAGTCATGTGTATGGAGTTCTTAGGCCTACCGGGGACCACGGCCAGAACCGGGCCCCCTCAGAGAGGCAAGGGGAGCAATGGCCTATAGAAGCCCCCGTGTAGTTGGAAGCATTCTATGTCTGCCATCGACCGGAACAGGCACCCAGAAAGGTAAGCGCCCCAAAACAAACCCCTATTCTGGTTAAAATTGCTACCTAATACCGAACTAGTGGATAGAACTCCCCAACCGAAAACAAGCAAATTAGTGTGACGTCACACACTGCCGCGCCGCTGTCTGCGCAGCTCCCCCCTCCCCGGGAGGGGGAAGGGGGAGCCCCAGACCCCCCGCGCCGGCTACCCACACCTCAGTTCTTGAGGCTGATGCTATAGGCGATGGTCGTGTGCTCTGGCTCCGGTGTCGCTACTGCACTGTGCTTTGAGTGTGGTGTTAGTTTTGTGGGTGCGAGAGCCAGGAGTTATCTTCAGTACTCGGGCTGCATGCGCCTAGGGCTGCCTTCCCTAGGTGCCCTGTAAGTACTGCCCTTGGGGCTTGGGGCCACCTTCCACAGGCTCCTCGGGGTCTGCCTCTGCTGGTCCGTTTTACCTTTCGGTTTTTCGGCCGCCTGTTGGGCTCTTGGGTGTTCTGTTCTCCCTTGTTACCGGCAGGTAAGAGGCAGTTTGCACTGGTAGGGGCGCAGGGTGCTGCTCAGCTTGTAATTCCCGACATCGCGGCCGGCTCTGTTCCTTGGGGTTCGCTGTCCTCTTGCGGGGTTTTGTTTTTCTTTTTGTTTTTGCCTGGTGGGGGGTTCTGTCATTTTATTCAGTTTGTTTTTTCCCTTCCACTGTTCTCCTCGGTGGCGCCCCCTGCTAGGTCCCCGTGAGTGTACACGTCCCTGGGGTTCAGCTTTAGAAGTTTGCTTGGTAGTTTTGGGCGCCGGTTTGCAGCACCCTGCCTGGGACTACCTGAGCGCGAGTCCTCTTAAAGTAAACGCTCAGGACCCTGGGAATCCCCTAGGGGGCGCGTGGGTCCGATGGATGTGACCCCGGGGTCCCCACTCGCTGTGTGCGAGTTTGAGGGTTGCTCGGTCCCCTTGTCTCAGGGTGACCCTCATTGTTTTTGCCTCTGCCACGCTGCCTGTTGGGTCGGTGATACTTTCGACCCTGAGTCCTGTGAGTGTTGCTGCTTGCTTGTGACTCAATTTACCCAATCCTCTGATGATTCTATTCGGGTACAGGCGGCACGTGCGTTGCAGTCTAGGTTTCGTCTGTTGCAACGCGCTCGGTTGGTTGCTTCCCCGGATGCCCCGGGGCTGCCCCGCTTTGCTTTTCGAGACCCGGACTTGGGGGTGGGGGTCGCTTCGATCCTGGTTCAGTCCGCACCTCCTCGTCCTTCCCCTTCTGTTCGTTCTGGTCCCCCGCCCCTGCTTCCGGCCCCGAAGCGTCTGAGGGTTTCGGGGTCGGAGCAGGGGTTACTTGATCTCGAGACTCGGGCAGCTTCGGGGGTTGCCCCTTCCGGGGGGGCGGCAGAGGTATTCGAGTCTTGTCTCCCGGCCGAAGCTTCAGGGTCTGACCAGTGGGCCCCCCTTCCTCCAGCTTTTCCGGCTGCTCCGTCCTTGTCTTGTGGGGTCAGGGCTTGGGGAGAGGACTCGGCCTCGGGTCCTGTGGTGACGGACCTCGAGGCTGGGGAGGGGCTGACTTGGGGGCCTTGGGCCCCGCTGGACCCCGCCTGGGTTTTTCTTCCCACTGAGCGGGGCTTATTGTTACAAGGAGTGGGGTTTTCTTTCCCCCCCTCTGCGTACGAGTTGGATTTGGTGTCGGCCCCTCCCCGGGTACGGTTCCGTGTTCCCCCGGGTACGTCGGTTCCGTCCTTCCGGAGGTTTTCGGCTTATCGCATCCAACCTGGTGTGGTGCGAGCGGCCTTTGCAGCTTACCTCCTGCGTGACCTGGATTATGCCTCGGAAATGGATCCGTCCACGTTCAGGTTTGGGACTTCGTTCCCTTTCTGGCTCCGTTACGAGGTTCCGGAGTCATCCTGGCTAGCAGACTGCCCCTTGTTTGGTCTGGATTCCTGGCATTCCTTCTGTCGTTCCCGCACGCTGGAGTGGCGGGAAGCTTCCACGGTGCTTCAGGTTTTCCTGGGGGGTGAACTTGAGTACCTGAATGAGTGCTTGTTTGCCCCTGCCCTTCCCCGCGATGTGGGCGTTATTCAGCTCCATGTGCAGGTTCCCCCCCTTTCGGCGGCGCTCGTGGCGGAGGACTTGCGCGCTCGGGGCCTTTTGTGTTCGGCCTTGCGGTTCTTTTCCCTCCTGGAGCTGTCTTCGGATTGGCTCGTGGAGGATGTGGGGACGCTTGGGTCCGTCCCGGGGTCCGGCACCTTGTCCTCGGCTGCGCGTTCGTCGGCTGCCTTGTTGAAGCTGTTCACACCGATTTTGCGGGATGCGGTTTCCCTGTTCTATGCTTCCCGTCTCGCGTGTCGGCAGGCGGTGCTGGGTTCCTCCGTGGAATCTGCTTGGGCTCTGGCTCTTAGGCGTTCTTCACCTTTTTGTCCTCTCCTGTTTGGGGAGTCGGCCGTGGCGCAGTTTATTCAGGCTGCGTCGGCGGCTTGTCGTCCGATGTCGGACTTGTTGGTTTTCCGGGGGTCCCGGGGTGGGTCTTCCCGGAAAGGTCGTGCCAGGGCTCGGGGTTCCTCTCGTCGTGGTAGGCCTCTGGTGTCAGGTTTGGGGTTGGCTCCTCCTGCGGACCCTCCCTCGTCTGGTCGGTGCGGTGTTCGCGCTGTGCGGGGTTCTGGGTCTCGTAAGGGTCGCCGGCCCTTTCGCGGTTTGCCCCTTTGACGGGGCGATGGGGGGGCGGCTTGCGCTGTTCGCCCGCGCCTGGTCCCACGATTCGTGGGCCTTTCGGGTCGTGTCTCGCGGCCTGCGGTGGCATTGGGTGGCCCCTCCCCCCTTTGGGGGGTCGGGGCTGGCGGGGCAGGCTTCTTCCCCTGCGCTCTGTCGAGTCGTCTTGGAGTGGGTACGCTTGGGCGTCGTCGAAACGACGTCGTCCCTCAGATGGGTTTCCCGTCTGTTTCCGGTTCCGAAACGGGACTGCGCGGACCTGCGGTTCATTCTGGACTTGTCCCATCTGAACCCCTGGGTTCATTGCCCCTCCTTTCGGATGACTACGCTGTCTCAGGTTCGGCTCCTCTTGGAGCCGGGTGCTTGGATGGTGTCCCTGGACCTCCGGGACGCTTACTGGCATGTCCCGATTCATCCGCGGTTCAGGGACTGGCTCGGTTTTGTAGTGGGGCGTCTGAGTTACCGCTTTCGTTGTCTCCCGTTCGGGTTGAACCTGGCACCTCGCGTGTTCACACGCCTTACACGGGTTGTGGTGGCTCGTTTGCGTCTCCTAGGTGTTCGGGTGTTGGCCTACCTCGACGACTGGCTGGTTTGGGCTCCCAGCCAGTCCGCTTGCTTGCTAGCCAGGGATTTGGTTCTTTCCCAGCTAGCCGGGTTCGGGTTCTTGGTGAACTGGAGGAAGTCCCATCTGGTTCCCTCTCAGGTTCGGACTTGGCTGGGTCTCGTGTGGGACTCTCGGACCGCCTCCTTGTCTCTCCCTCCGGAGTCTCTCCTGCGGCTGCGGTCCCGCCTTCGTCTGTTTCTGGAGGGCCCTCGGGTCACCCGGCGGTTGCTCGAGGGGCTGTGCGGGAGCCTGAACTTCGCGATGGTGGTCTACCCGCCGGGTCGGGTTTGGCTTCGACGGCTGTTCTGGTTCCTTCGGGGTTCCCCATTCCGCCTCTCTCGCGATCGCAGAGTTCGACCCCCGGGGGACTTGCGTCGGTTGCTGCGTCACCGGCTTCCTCTTCGGGTTTTTCGGGGTTCAGTGCCTTGGCGCCTACCCGAGCCCTCGCTCGATGTGTACACGGATGCGTCGTCTCTCGGCTGGGGTTTTGTGACCAGTGCTCACCAGGCCGGCCAGGGGCGTTGGGATCCGTCCTTCCGTCGAGCTCACAGTACGGTGCGGGAGTTCGCGGCAGTGTGGTTTGCTCTGGGGAGGATTCGGGTGGCCCGCGGATCGACGATTCGGCTCCATTCGGACTGCTCTCCGGTGGTTCATTGCCTGAACCGCGGGGGTTCGATGCGGTCCTTGTCTCTTTGGGGTTGGTCGCTTCGGGTGACTCGTCTGCTGAGTTCCCGGGGTTTGGCTCTCCTGGCGGTTCACGTACGGGGCGTGTCCAACGTCTTGGCCGACGCCCTGTCTCGCTTCGTTCCCCTCTCCACGGAGTGGACGGTCGACGAAGAGTCCTTCCGTTGGCTTTGCCAGACGTTCGGGCGCCCCGAGGTGGACCTCTTCGCGTCGGCGTGGTCGCGGTGTCTTCCCGTTTATGCGGCGCCCTTCCCCGATTGCGAGGCCGTCGGGGTCGATGCCTTTCGGCTCGACTGGTCGAGGTGGGGGTTCCTGTACCTCTTTCCCCCAGTTCGGCTGTTGCTCCAGGTCCTGACTCGCTTAGAGACTTACCAGGGGAGAGTTGTCCTTCTGGCCCCTTGGTGGCCGGCCCAGCCTTGGTTTCAGGCGCTGGTTGCTCGGTGTCCAAACCCGAGGGTTTTCCCGCGGCTCCGCCTCTTTCAGCAGATCGGGCCGGTACGTCACGTAGCTGGTTCGATCTTCTCCTCGAGTCTTCGCGTATGGTTTTTTGACTCGAGTCTATCATCATCTCTATGGTGATCAGGTGGCCTCCTTGTTGGTGTCCCACCTGAGGGCTTCTTCTCGGCGGCAGTATGAAGTTTCCTGGCGGTCCTTCCGTTTCTTTTTGCGTCTTCGTCGTGTTAGCTCCTTGTCTGTTCGGGTGGTCTTGTCCTTCCTCTCGTGGTTGTTTCAGGACCGTCATCTTATGCCTAACACTGTCGCTTCGTATCGTGCGGCGCTGGCGGAGCCGCTTCAGCTTGCTTTCGGTATCGATGTTACGTCTGCGCCGTTTCGCAAGCTGTCTCGTGCATTGTTTCACCTCCGGCCTGCTCATGCGTCGCCTGAGCCGTCCTGGTCTTTGGACAGAGTGCTCGCTTTCCTTTCATCTCCTCGTTTCGTTGTGGCCCCTTCGGTCCAGGATTGTTTTTCCAAGGCACTTTTCTTGTTGACTTTGGCCTCTGGGGGTCGGGTAGGGGAGCTTCATGCTCTCCTCCGGCGCAGGGGTTTCTGCTCTTTTGGTCGTGGTGATAGTTTTGTTCGTTTGCAGCCGTCTCCTTCTTTTCTGGCGAAGAATGAGACTGCTGCGTTCCGGAGGGGTCCATGGGTGGTTGATGCTTGGTTGGTCAGGCCGGGGGTGCATCATGTTTTGTGTCCGGTTGCGGCGCTTCGCCGTTATTTGCGCGCCACAGCTTCTGTGTCCGGGGACGCGCTGTGGGTTGATCCGGTTTCCCTTCTTCCCTGTTCGCGGGTTCGGGTCTCTCAGGTCGTCCGCAGGGTTATTAGGTCTAGCCAGCCTGCGGTCTATCCCCGTGCCCATGACGTTCGTAAGTTCGCGGCTCTTGCTGCCGTCTTTGGGAATGTCTTGGTCTGATATTCGGGCGCGGGGATTTTGGCGGTCGAACAGGGTCCTGGCTGCTCGTTACCTTGTGAATGTCCCTGGCCCTCGTCGGGCCTGTGTTGCTTTGGGTCGGCGGTTGCAGCCAGTTGTCTCGGCTTCGAGTTGAGGGGTGAGCGACGACCGCCTCCCGGGTAAGTCCCTCTTTTTCTGTCTGTGGGTAGTTAGCTCCGGGGAGCCAACGGGGCTCCCCCCAGAAAACCAGCGTTGAATGTAATGAAACGCCATTTTCTGGGTGAGTCCCGGAGGCTCCCCGGCATCCCTCCCTCCCTCCGGTCGGCGGTTTTTCGCGTTTTTGACATCCAGCCTCAAGAACTGAGGTGTGGGTAGCCGGCGCGGGGGGTCTGGGGCTCCCCCTTCCCCCTCCCGGGGAGGGGGGAGCTGCGCAGACAGCGGCGCGGCAGTGTGTGACGTCACACTAATTTGCTTGTTTTCGGTTGGGGAGTTCTATCCACTAGTTCGGTATTAGGTAGCAATTTTAACCAGAATAGGGGTTTGTTTTGGGGCGCTTACCTTTCTGGGTGCCTGTTCCGGTCGATGGCAGACATAGAATGCTTCCAACTACACGGGGGCTTCTATAGGCCATTGCTCCCCTTGCCTCTCTGAGGGGGCCCGGTTCTGGCCGTGGTCCCCGGTAGGCCTAAGAACTCCATACACATGACTGATGCCAAAGTCTGACATTAGCATATCAGCCTGGGATAGCTCCGGGGAGCCTCCGGGACTCACCCAGAAAATGGAGTTTCATTACATTCAACGCTGGTTTTTTTACTATTTGTGGGCCTTTTAATCCGAGTGGGGATTTGGATTAGTGGAATATACAAAATGAGAAATCTGAATATATTCAAGTTTGAGTGTTTGACTTGGCAACTTCGAGGCCAAATTGGGTTACCATGATTTGGTCGTCAGGTTACTGAACAAATTGTGACGACATGCTCATAACACAAATTAGAGTACAGTCAGCCCTGTGCTTACCGAACACCTTTTTTTTTCCAAAATGCTTGTTATTTGATTTGGGTCTGTTCAGATAACTGGTAGGACAGGCAGTCTGAATAAAAATGTGCAATAAAATTGGATCTAGATTGCCCAGTGACTGTAAACAGTGCCACTTGAGCAGTGTTCATGCATTAATGAATGGCTCAGAAGCTTTAAACTCTGCCATGGTATTAGGCACATTAGAGTACATAGTGAAAGACAGCCTGCTGAGGTTACCTCATCACGATTAATCTCCACTATAGTCAACCCAACTCTATCCTCATCCTCCACCGCCACCTTTTCTATCTAAATAGCAATAATCCATCAAGTATAATCTTCAAGTTAACAAGCGGATCAGAACTTCTCATATTGATGAGTACAAACAAAATTTCTGCAACAAAATTATAATTTTTTTCCCCCAGCTTTTCAGGATGAGGAACCACTTATCCAAACACAACAGGCTATCCATTCAGTCTCAGTTCCGAGGGTTCAGAAAGCACATGACTGACTACATTAATTATATTAAATAAAGAAATACTGTATAATATCCAATGTTACAAGAAATAATAAGCGATTGTTGAAAACTGCATGTAATGGCTGTACAGTGTATTTCTCTGCTAAAATAGAAGATTTTTTCCATCTGGTGGCCAAGTGGACCTGTCAAAACCCAGTCAACCTGACCCCAGCCATGTGGTCTCTCCCAAATTGTGATTCTACAGTGTCACTCCATTATTGAAAGATTTTCTTTCCTAATTTTTTTGCAAAAACCATGTCTCATAGTACCATCAATTGGCCTGGAGGTGTTAAGAAGAAGCACATCATGCTTTTAGTCAAGTCAAGTCATTTAAGATAATTAAATGGATAGTGCCTCTACTAAGGGACCCACACTCTGGTCTGTGGTGGTGGTGTGTCCCCAGACCTCCCTGTGCCTCTACTAAGGGGCCCACTGGGGGCCCACACTCTGTTCTGTGGTGGTGGTGGTGTGTCCCCAGGCCTCCCTGTGCCTCTACTAAGGGGCCCACTGGGTCTCTGTGCCTCTACTAAGAGGCCCACACTGTGGTCTGTGGTGGTGGTGTGTCCCCCAAACCTCCCTGTGCCTCTACTAAGGAATCCACTGGGTCCCTGTGCCTCTAAGGGATCCACTGGGCCCCTGTGCCTCTACTAAGGGACCCACTCTGGTCTGTGACTCACTACAGCCATGATGGGACCTACAGTTTGGAAATACTGGGGCGGGTATCTCGATGAGCCACTGAAGAGTTTCTCTTTTAACTTTGTAGCTTATACCTACAAAATCTATATGTTTAAACACTGACTTATTTGCAGAGAGGTGTGTTACATAACAGCACCGGAGTAGCAGTCAGTCGGCTGACGAGGCTCTCAAGGCTCAGCGAGACGGACTGTTACGAAGACAATAAGGTGAAGAGAGTACACCTTATCTCACCTATGTGACATGTGTGATCTCACCTCAGATAACTCTGAAGACTGTGGTGTGTGTGATCCTGTGGAGCCCACGTCGCTGGAGGAGCCCACAGAGCCTGCGTGAGCCGAGGCCATGGACAACAGGAAGGAGAACTGCCTGTACGTGAGCGTCTTCACCACCACCATCAGGTCGGCGGGTGTGAACCTGCCAACAGTGTAAATCAATTGATCACTCTGCTAAACCTGTTAATTACTCTGCTCAACCTGTTGATCAGATTGATACCTGGTTACCTGGTTGATGGGGTTCTGGGAGTTCTTCTCCCCAAGTAGTATCATTACTCTGCTAAACCTGTTGATCACTGCTAAACCTGTTGATCACTCTGCTAAACATGTTGATCACTCTGCTAAACCAACTGATCACTCTGCTAAACCAACTAATCACTCTGCTAACCCCAACTGATCACTATGCTAAACCAATTGATCAGTCTGTTAAACCAGTTGATCACTGCTAAACCAGTTGATTACTCTGCTAAACCAGTTGATCACTCTGTTAAACCAGTTGATCACTCTGCTAAACCAGTTGATCACTCTGCTAAACCAGTTGATCACTGTCAAACTAGTTGATCACTGTCAAACCAGGTGATCACTCTGCTAAACCAATTAATACTCTGCTAAATCAGTTGATCACTCTGCTAAACCAACTGATCACTCTGCTAAACCAATTGATCACTGCTAAATCAGTTGATCACTCTGCTAAACCAACTGATCACTCTGCTAAACCAATTGATCACTGCTAAACCAGTTAATCACTCTGCTAAACCAATTGATCACTGCTAAACCAGTTGATCACTCTGCTAAACCAACTGATCACTGCTAAACCAGTTAATCACTGCTAAACCAACTGATCACTCTGCTAAACCAATTGATCACTGCTAAACCAGTTAATCACTCTGCTAAACCAATTGATCACTGCTAAACCAGTTGATCACTCTGCTAAACCAATTGATCACTGCTAAACCAGTTAATCACTCTGCTAAACCAACTGATCACTCTGCTAAACTAATTGATCACTGCTAAACCAGTTAATCACTCTGCTAAACCAGTTGATCACTCTGCTAAACCAACTGATCACTCTGCTAAACCAATTGATCACTGCTAAACCAGTTGATCACTCTTGCTAAACCAATAGATCATTTAAACTCTGCTAAACCAACTTATCATTTAAACTCTGCTAAACCCATTGATCATTTAAGCTCTGCTAAACCCAATGATCATTTTAACTCTGCTAAATATCATATTACCTCGTTCTTATTCAGGTTCCACTAAGTATTGTTCATTGCAATATATGTCTCTCATTAATGTAATATACTTCTGCATCGTTGTATCTTAATACTAAACTTATTTCACCATATAATCAATCAATATTATATCAATACAATGACAAATTTAGATATTTTTTGGAAATCAAAAGAAAATTTGGTTAGGCAAGTTTGAATGATGTTGAAATTGCCAGGGGTGAGGCTGACCCGTGGTTTACACTAATACATTGGTTTACGTACAATAATACATTAGTTTGCATACAATAATACATTGGTTTACATACAATAATAATTGGTTTACGATAATACATCGTCATCACTTAGGACACCACCTTCATGTTTCGTAACCATAGCTCCACACACCATGGTCTCGCAACCCATAATAAACTACTGTATTTAAATTAACTAACTCTAATCCTTCGGTGAGGCGGGTGCATGTTGCTGAATGTTGAGGAGACCCGGTGATGACTCGGACCTGATTCATCAAGGCTCACGTTCATGAAGAAGCAGTTTGTGAGCTCCGAAGCACCGCCGAGGCTGCTTATAACAATAACATCAGTTGCTGGCGAAGTTCCTGTGCTCATAAACCATTTAATAATAAATCTAAACAAAGCTGCCCAATATTGAGAAGAGATGTTAAGGTGTGTATGAAGAGGGGCACGCACACTACCTCCTTATACTCGCATCTTCAACAATGTTTTTCAAACTGATTTAGAGGACAGGCAACATAATAGATACCCTTAAAAAGATTCATTTTTTTTTCCTCCACAGCATGCCATATAATTATCATATTTGCATAATTATGTTGTACATCACGGCAAAAAAAAACATCCTTCACTATTAACTGGAATGCGAATACTGTATGATGAAAATGTTAATGTTCGAAGATGATATTAGCAGGTGAGGAGGTATCAATGGGTAGGGGGCGAGGCAGGTCACGCCCCCGAGGTCACTGTAGGGAAGCGCCCCAACACAAGGCTGACTGAGGCAGTGTCTGTGGGGCCGCGCTGGGTCCTCTGGTAGGTTAGGAGAGGGGTTATCTTGAGATGATTTCGGGGCTTAACGTCCCCGCGGCCCGGTCCTCGATCAGGCTTCCTCGTTGCTGGACTGGTCAGCCAGGCTGTTGGACGCGGCTGCTCGCAGCCTGATGCACGAATCACAGGTTGAGGTCTCGGGGGTCTGATGTTGATAGAGTTCTCTCTCAGAGTACCTGTTGCACCTCTGCTCTTCAACGGGGGTATTCTGCACATCCTGCCATGCCTCCTGGTCTCATGTGGTGTTATTTCTGTGTGCAGGTTTGGGACCAGCTCCTCTACTATTTTCCACATGTAAATTATTATGTATCTCTCCCGCCTGCGCTCTAGAGAATACAGATTTAGAACTTTTAATCGGTCCCAATAATTATAATGACTTTTAGAGAGGATTCTTTAGTAAAGGATCTTTGCACGGTTTCCAGGTCAACAATTTCTGCGGCTGTTAGAGTGCAACAATATTCCACCCTAGAGAGCACTAGTGTCTTGAAAAGTATCATCATTGGTATGTCATCCCTTGTTTGGAAGGTCCTTGTTACCCAACCTGTCATTTTCCCTGCAGTCGTCACAGCTACTTTATGGTGTTCTGTAAAGGTAAGGTCTTCCCACATGATTACTCCTACGTCCTTTACATTGTTTTTCGTTCTATAATGTAATTTGATTCCGATTTATATATGGGTTCCGCTTTTACATTTAATTTTTCTCCATAGCGCAGGAGCTGGAACTTTTTTCATTATATCATATTATCATCTGAGGCCCATTGAAAGACCCGATTAACATCTGATTGGAGGTTTGTCGTGTCCTCTATATTGTCTACTGGCATGAGAATCCTGGTGTGTCATGTACTAATGATGATACAGTGCTGTAGTTTGTATCCTTGTCTGTGTCTGATATTAGGATGAGACAAAGTACCGGAGCAAGTACGGTACCTTGTGGGGGGGGGGGGGGGGATTGAGCTTTCACAGTAGATGATCGGGATTTTTCAGTGTTGACTTACCTGCTTGATGGGGTTCTGGGAGTTCTTCTACTCCCCATGCCCGGTCTGAGGTCAGGCTTATCTTGTGAGAGTTTGGTCCACCAGGCTGTTGCTTGGAACGGCCCGCAGGCCCACATGTTCAGGACGTTGAACAACCACGGACCTCTGATGTTTATACAGTGTTCTCTGATTGTACCTATGGCACCTCTGCTCTTCACTGGTTCTATTCTGCATTTTCTTCCATATCGTTCACTACAGTACGTTGTTATTTTACTGTGTAGATTTAGGACCTGGCCCTCCAGTATTATCCACGTGTATATATTATTTGACATCTCTCTCGTCTCCTTTCTAATGAGAACATTTGGAGAGCTTAGAGACGATCGCAATAATTTTGGTGCTTTATCGCATCTATATATGCCGTATATGTTCTCTGTATTCCCTCCATTTAAGCAATTTCTCCTGCTTTGAAGGGGGAAGTGAGTACTCGCAGGACTCAAGACGGGACAGTACAAGTGATTTGAAGAGTACAACCATTGTGATGGGATCCCTGAATCTGAAAGTTCTCGTAATCCATCCTATCATTTTTCTGGCTGATGCAATATTTGCTTGGTTTTGCTCCCTAAATGTTAGGTCGTTGGACATCATTATTCCCAAATCCTTGAAATGTTGCTTTCGTACTACGGGCAAATTTGACTGTGTTTTGTACTCTGTATTATGTTTAAGGTCCTCATTTTTGCCGTACCTGAGTACCTGGAATTTTTCACTGTTAAACATCATGTTATTTTCCGCTGACCAATCGAAAACTTTGAAAAACTTCAAGCAGATATTAATAATGTCATCAGCAGAGGTAATTTTCATGCTGATTTTTATGTCATCTGCAAAGGATAATACGAAGCTGTGCCTTGTATTTGAGTCTATATCTGATATGAGAATAAGGAAAAGGTACCTTGACCTTGTACCTATATCTTGAAGTACAGAGCTTTTAACTGTGCTTGAACTCGATTTTATATGAATGACTGTTACTCTTTGTGTTCTGTTCGATAGAAAACCGAGTATCTAGCATCCTACTTTACCAGTTATTCCCATTGACCTCATTTTGTGTGCTATCACTCACGTTTATCGAATGTCTTTGCGAAGTCCGTGTATACCACATCTGCATTGTTGCATTGTTTTTCTTCTAATGCCTCAGTGATTTTATTGTGGTGGTCAAGTAGCTGTGAGAGGCATGATCTTCATGCTCTAAATCCATGTTGGCCTAGATGGTGGTCATTGGTTTCCATAAAACTAGTGACCCGACTCCTGATCACTCTCTCAAATATAGTACTTTTATTATGTGGGACGTTAGTGCAACTGGACTATTACACTCTGCGTTCTGTTCGTTAGGTAGTTGAAGAATCATCTTACTTTGCCAGTAATTCCTTTTGCAGGCATTGTGTGCGCAACACCACCATGGTCACACTGTCGGTGAGCACACACTATGGGAGTGTGCTCTCCCAGCACACGGTACACACACTCCCACACACTCAGATACAACATAAACAAGAGTAAAAGCTGAAGTGTGTGTGGTTGCAACCCGTTCTCGCAAATTTAATAAGTCGATATTGACTTATTAGTTGCGTGCATAGGTGACATACTAAACATAATAGTTTCCCTTGAAAAGCTTCATAGAAAACACCGACCTTACCTAACCTACTTAGTATGTTAAGATAAGCATCTTATTGCTTCGTAATTACAATTATTACCTAACCTATACCTATAATAGGTTAAGTAACAATTGTAATTACGAAGCTATAAGATGCTTATTTTAACATACTAAGTAGGTTAGGTAAGGTCGGTGTTTTCTATGAAGCTTTTCAAGGGAAACTGTTATGTTTAGTATGTCACCTATGTACACAACTAATAAGTCAATATTGACTTATTAAATTTGCGAGAACGTGTGTGTGTGTGTGTGTGTGTGTGTGTGTGTGTGTGTGTGTGTGTGTGTGTGTGTGTGTGTGTGTGTGTATGTATATATATATATATATATATATATATATATATATATATATATATATATATATATATATATATATATATATGAGAACTTCAAATGCACTTTGGAGAGTTAATTTTCCAACTTCGTGCTTCAGTGAAGAAAAACATAAGAATGTCGAGAAGATTCGTGCCAGAATCATAAATCTAACACTTTCTATTGTTTTCAACGAAATATGTTTTCAAAGAAAGACAGCTACCAAAACATACTAATTAATATATAACGTACCCCTCTGTCTTGTCAGCGACGACCATGATGTCCTTCTCGGAGAGGTTGTGGTGGACGTCGTGGAAGAGGGACATGAGGAGGTTGTAGCGGGTGCCCTTGTCTGGCAGCCCCACCAGGTACACCCCTCGGAACCTGCTCAACAGCTCGTGGTCCTGCCGGCACACACACACACACACAGTATGATATGTGTAGATATGATAGAGCCCAGTAGGCTCAGGAACCTGTACATTAGTTGATTGACAGTTGAGAGGCGGGACCAAAGAGCCAGAGCTCAACCCCCGCAAGCACAACTAGGTAACTAGGTTGTTGTTTTTGTTTTAGATTTAGCTACTCAGAACGAAGTGTCCATGTAGCACGGGCTATGGTGAGCCCGTGCTACAACGTAACTAGGTAAGTACACATCCTCATATCCTCCCGCGTTAGTCACTTGTTTCAACCTTATATGTTTATTGTTAACCTCTACCGCTCACAGTGTATTAAGCAACCTCTTAGGGAATTCATAAGTTAACTCTATACTAGTTAACTATTGTGCAAAATACTAACTAAATGAAGAATGAATAGCTGCCAACATTAATAGCTTCTTAATCTAAAAACTAATAACTGTAAATAATTAAAACAAGTAATTAATAAGACATAAATCAAACACTGCAGAAAGTTTACCATAACATTGAAAGATGTTTTCAGTCTTTAAGATAATTTAGGCGTACCTTCATCACAACTAGATACCACTATAACAGCCCAGCCTCCTGTGTTGATAGTACTTACAGTAACGATGAGGACCACAGTATATATACCGATGTACAATGAATTTAGAAAGTAGAAATCTGAACTATTGAGTTGGACAAACCGGAAAACTGTTTTTTACTTGTGTTGCTTTGACAAACTAAACTAACCTAACCTTTCTAGGCCTAATACACGATATCTGAGGCCTAATATAGTACATATGTGTACTATACTAGGCCTAGGAATATTTGTTTTTTAGCTTCATTTATTTTAAAAGAATTCCTTACTAGTCAGGATACTACTATCTAAAAGCTAAGAACGTACGAATTCGTGACTATTGACGACTGTCACAATAGGTACTGTCTAAACAGGAGGATGGGTTGAATTTAGACATTATACAAATATCTTGACAAGACACACAACAAAGGAATACACACCAATCTTGGCCGATTAATTAAAGTAGGTCAGAATTACAGTAGGTACAGATAGATGGGATTACATAATGTATCGATAGATGGGCATTACGGCGGGTCTAGATACATGTGAATTGACAGGTCTAGAACAGATGAGAATTCCAGTAGGTCACTCTAGACTCTCTAGATAGCTGAGAAATACAGTAGGTCTACATAGCTAAAACTTACAGTAGACCTAAATAGCTGAGAATTACATTAGGTTTAAATAGAAGAATTACCGTCTTAATAGAAGAAATACGGTCAAGAAGGTTGGGAATTACAGGACTAGATAGAGAGGAGTTACAGAAGTACAGACAGAAGAGCATTACATTAGATCTAGATAATTAGAATTACAGTGGGTCTAATATATGAGAATTCTAGTAGGTCTCTAGACAGATGAGAATTACGGTAGGTCAATATAGATGAAAACTACAGGTGCTTATAAATGAAAATTACTGTAGGTCTAGATAGATGAGAATTACTGTAGGTCTAGATAGATGAGAATTACTGTAGGTCTAGATAGATGAGAATTACTGTAGGTCTAAATAGATGAGAATTACTGTAGGTCTAAATAGATGAGAATTACTGTAGGTCTAGATAGATGAGAATTACTGTAGGTTTAGATAGATGAGAATTACTGTAGGTCTAGATAGATGAGAATTACTGTAGGTCTAGATAGATGAGAATTACTGTAGGTTTAGATAGATGAGAATTACTGTAGGTCTAGATAGATGAGAACTACTGTAGGTCTAGATAGATGAGAATTACTGTAGGTCTAGATAGATGAGAATTACTGTAGGTCTAGATAGATGAGAACTACTGTAGGTCTAAATAGATGAGAATTACTGTAGGTCTAAATAGATGAGATTTACTGTAGGTCTAAATAGATGAGAATTACTGTAGGTCTAAATAGATGAGAATTACTGTAGGTCTAGATAGATGAAAATTTATTGTAGGTCCAGATAAATGAGAATTACTCCAGGTCTAGATGAGAATTATTGTAGGTCTAGAAAGATGATACCAATCTCAGCTAAATAGTATTGTTAATATTTCTGAAGCAATCAATGAATGTCAGAATCAGGTCCAAACACTAGGAATGATTTTTGCTGTAGGAAATTGATGTCTAATAAAGTTAGTAAATAAAGTGGTTATTTTTGTATTGATGATTTAAGTCCATGTGAGCACAAGAGGGAGAAGTGTGCGGACCTTGTAGAGGAGCCAGGGGGTGCTGGTGGCGGCCACGACGATGATGCCATTGTTATCAGGGTACTGGGAGTCCTCCTCGTCCACAACGTCGTCATCTTCGTCAGGCGGCGCCGAGGGACGAGGTCTGGAGAGCGTCGAGGTTCGACTACCAATGGACCCGCCTACACTCTTCATCCCGCCTCGACCATCGCCTCCGCTCTCGCTGTCACTCGAGCTCTCCGTCGGATTCTTCGCCGATTTCGGGTCGACAATTTTGAGCTTGCGAGGCCCCAGCTGTACGAAGAGCTCGTCGCGAATGGACTGGATTAAGGCCGAGCATGCGGGATCTTCATCGTGGTTGGAAAAGATGGAGTCAACATCGTCCATAAAGACTAGTGACGGGTAGTTGTCTCTGGCTTGCTCAAACAGCTTCCTAACCGCTGGTGCTCCGCGGACCTGGTTGGTGTGGACGCCGTACAGAGGCATCTCGCACACATTGCTCATCTGCTTCACCAGGTAGGTCTTGCCGGCGCCTGGGGGCTGAAACACAAGGAAACACAAATCAGTTTATTTTCCCAGCAGCAAGAACATATTTTAATAAAAGTTACCGTCAATTATGGTGCCTAAATGATACAAACATTAGCTCTAGCATGTTACAGTTTTTTCTACATCTCATAAATCCAATACAAATCACAGTGGTCTTACACTGAATGTCCTTGTAATACAGCTTAGTATTTTGACCTTCACAAAGAAAACACGCAACACCTTATTTTAATAATAATGAAATGGTTTGAAAACAATGATTACAAATATCTGTTACTCAGATCACAGCCTAATCGAAATTCAGACAAGCATGGGTAATAGACCTATGCAGCCAGTCTCAAATACAAGGAGAATTCTGCTAATTATATTTCTGATAAAACAGATTCGCTGTGAACTAATAACCCCAAGACCTCACAGAAATAAATTGGGAATAGGAGAATGCAATGCTAAATAAATGCCTAGAGAAATATAGGGAGAGTGAGGGGTGAGAGAGTGGGGGGGGGGGGGAGAGAGAGTGGGGGGTGAGGGAGTGGGGGGGGGGTGAGGGAGAGTGGGGGGGTGAAGGAGAGTGGGGGGGTGAAGGAGAGTGGGGAGTGAGAGAGGGGGGGGGGGGGGGGGGTTTACTAGTTGTGTTGTGTTTTTGCGGGGGTTGAGCTTTGTTCTTTCGGCCCGCCTCTCAACTGTCAATCAACTGTTTACTAACTACTTTTTTTTTCCACACCACACACACCCCAGGAAGCAGCCCGTGACAGCTGACTAACTCCCAGGTACCTATTTACTGCTAGGTAACAGGGGCACTTAGGGTGAAAGAAACTTTGCCCATTTGTTTCTGCCTCGTGCGGGAATCGAACCCGCGCCACAGAATTACGAGTCCTGCGCGCTATCCACCAGGCTACGAGGCCCCTCGTAGGCCTCGAGGTGAGGGGGGTGAGAGTGGGGGGTGAGGGAGAGTGGGGGGTGAGGGAGAGTGGGGGGTGAGGGAGAGTGGGGGGTGAGGGAGAGTGGGGGGGGGGGGTGAGGGGAGAGTGGGGGGGGGTGAGGGAGAGTGGGAGGGGTGAGGGAGAGTGGGAGGGGTGAGGGAGAGTGGGGGAGGGTGAGGGAGAGTGGGGGGGTGAGGGAGAGTGGGGGGGTGAGGGAGAGTGGGGGGGTGAGGGAGAGTGGGGGGTGAGGGAGAGTGGGGGGGTGAGGGAGAGTGGGGGGGGTGAGGGAGAGTGGGGGGGTGAGGGAGAGTGGGGGGTGAGGGAGAGTGGGGGGGTGAGGGAGAGTGGGGGGGTGAGGGAGAGTGGGGGGTGAGGGAGAGTGGGGGGTGAGGGAGAGTGGGGGGTGAGGGAGAGTGGGGGGTGAGGGAGAGTGGGGGGTGAGGGAGAGTGGGGGGGGTGAGGGAGAGTGGGGGGGGGTGAGGGAGAGTGGGGGTGAGGGAGAGTGGGGGGTGAGGGAGAGTGGGGGGGGTGAGGGAGAGTGGGGGGGGGGGGTGAGGGAGAGTGGGGGGTGAGGGAGAGTGGGGGGGGTGAGGGAGAGTGGGGGGGGGAGAGTGGGGGGGTGAGGGAGAGTGGGGGGGTGAGAGAGAGTGGGGGAGTGAGGGAGAGTGGGGGAGTGAGGGAGAGTGGGGGGGTGAGGGAGAGTGGGGGGTGACTGATAAGTAACACCGGCCAGGCCGGGGTTACCACCAGTGTTGAATAGTTTATCCTTGTCTACCCTGTCAATTCCCCTGAGGATTTTGTAGGTAGTGATCATGTCTCCCCCTCACTCTTCTGTCTTTCAGTGTCGTAAGGTGCATTTCCGGCAGCCTTTCCTCGTAACTCAGTCCTCTTAGTTCTGGGACTCGCCTAGTGGCATATCTGAACTTTTTTCCAGCTTCGTCTTGTGCTTGACAGGGTACGGGCTACATGCTGGGGCCGCATACTCCAGGATTGGTCTTACATATGTGGTGTACAAGGTTCTGAATGATTCCTTACACAGGTTCCTGAACGCTGTTCTGATATTAGCCAGCCTCACATATGTCGCAGACGTGACATATGTGGTGGGGTGCGTGTGTGGGGGGGTGTAGGGGGGGGCGAAGTGGTCAACATCGGCACAAATAACATCATTTATAAAGTTGATGACTTAATAATGGTTGCAACAGCTGCCAAACGAAACTCTTAATTATAGAACTCCTCTTACAAGCCGAGCACGCTTCTGGTGCAAGTGTGTGTGATGCGCTGTATTACCCCACACCTGCACCACCAACACCGTCACCACCACCAACACCACCAACACTATCATCCATCACCCTGTCACTCACACCGTATACCAGTTGCTCGCAACAACAGTTTAACAAGACAGAACAGGTCGTGACAGGCATGGTAATGGTGGTGGGCGCCAGCGGGGCAATAGTGTGTGGCGCCACGGGGCTGGCACAGGGGCAGCCACTCCTCCAGTGTTGTCAACCTCTCTAAACTGTCCCAACCTCCCCAGGCCAGGGGGGGGGGGCACTCTGTAGTCTGGTTATCTTGAGATGATTTCGGGGCTTAGCGTCCCCGCGGCATGGTCCTCAACCAGGCCTTCTTTTTGTTACACATCGCCAGGAAGCAGCCCGTAGCAGCTGACTAACTCCCAGGTACCTATTTACTGCTAGGGGAACAGAGGCATCACCGTGAAAGAAACTCTGCCCATTTGTTTCCGCCTACACCGGGCATCGAACCCAAAACCTTAGGACTACGAATCCCGAGCGCTGTCCACTCAGCTGTCAGGCCCCCTGGTATACTCTTCCCCCCCCCCCACACACACACACACGGTGCCATACTCTCCCCCCCCCACACACACACACGGTGCCATACTCTCCCCCCCCCCCCCACACACACACGGTGCCATACTCTCCCCCCCCACACACACACACGGTGCCATACTCTCCCCCCCCCCACACACACACGGTGCCATACTCTCCCCCCCCCCACACACACACGGTGCCATACTCTCTCCCCCCCCCACACACACACACACACACGGTGCCACAGCTGTGAGAGGCCGGGGCTGGAGTACGCAGCTCCTGCATGGAATCCACTTCAACTTCTCGTTTAGAAAGCACACATACGAGCCTGTGACCACTGCAACACGTGTAAACAGGTATTACAGTATAGGTCAAACTAGATTTCACGTTTCTTGTGTTGATGTGACTACTAATAAGCACCTTGCGAGAACCTGGATTGTACCTGGATGGGGTTCTGGGAGTTCTACTACTCCCCAAGCCCGGCCCGAGGCCAGACTTGACTTGTGAGAGTTTGATCCAAATGCTTTTCATTATTTTCATATCAGATATAGACAAAAATACAAGTCACAGATTCGTATCGTCCTTTGCAGATGACACAAAAATCAGCATGAAAATTACCTCTGCTGAAGACACTGAAAAACTACAAGCAGATATTAATAAAGTTTTCGACTCGGCAGCAGAAAATAACATGATGTTTAAAAGTGATAAATTCCAGGTACTCAGGTACGGTAAAAATGAGAACCTTAAACATAATACAGGGTACAAAACACAATCAAATGCGCCCATAGTAGGAAAACAGCATGTAAAGGATTTGGGAATAATGATGTCTGACGACCTAACGTTTAGCGAGCATAACCAAGCAAATATTGCGACAGCCAGAAAAATGATAGGATGGATTACGAGAACTTTCAAATCCAGGGATCCCATCACAATGGTTGTACTCTTCAAGTCACTTGTGTTGTCCCGTCTTGAGTACTGCTCAGTACTCACTTCCCCCTTCAGAGCAGGAGAGATTGCTGAAATAAAAGGAATACAGAGAACATATATGTCATACATAGACGCGATAAAGCATCTATCTTGGTTATCTTGAGATGATTTCGGGGCTTGGTGTCCCCGCGGCCCGGTCCTCGACCAGGCCTCCACCCCCAGGAAGCAGCCCGTAGCGGCTGTCTAACTCTCAGGTACCTATTTACTGCTAGGTAACAGGAGCATCAGGGTAAAAGAAACATTTTGCCCATTTGTCTCCGCCTCCACCGGGGATCGAACCCGGAACCTAAGGACTACGAATCCGAAGCGCTGTCCCCCCAGTTGCCACGCGCCCTAAATTAGACCTAAATTATTGGGATCGTCTCAAAGCTCTCCAAATGTACTCACTAGAAAGGAGACGAGAGAGATATCAAATAATATATACATGGAAAATACTGGAGGGCCAGGTCCCAAATCTACACAGTAAAATAACAACATACTGGAGTGAACGATATGGAAGAAAATGTAGAATAGAACCAGTGAAGAGCAGGGGTACCATAGGCACAATCAGAGAACACTGTATAAACCTCAGAGGTCCGCGGTTGTTCAACGTCCTCCCAGTGAGCATAAGAAATATTGCCGTAACAACCGTGGACATCTTCAAGAAAAAACTAGATAGTTTTCTTCAAGGAGTGCTGGACCAACCGGGCTGTGGTGGGTATGTGGGCCTGCGGGCCGCTCCAAGCAACAGCCTGGTGGACCAAACTCTCACAAGTCAAGCCTGGCCTCGGGCCGGGCTTGGGGAGTAGAAGAACTCCCAGAACCCCATCAAGCAAGTCCACCAGGCTGTTGCTTGGAGCGGCCAGTGGTGGCCGCAAGTGCACACGTCCACCACAGCCTGGTTGGTCCGGCACTTCTTTGCAAAACTATCTAGTTTTCTCTTGAAGATGTCCACGGTTGTTCCGGCAATATTTTCTATACTCGCTGGGAGGATGTTGAACAACCACGGACCTCTGATGTTTATACAGTGTTCTCTGATTGTGCCTCAAATCACTGGTTATATTCTGCACTTTCTTTGAGACGGCCATTTTCATTCTCAGAAGGTCTCTTAGAAATACTGTGCCTCTTCACTGGTTCTATTCTACACTTTCTCTGAGAAGGTCATTTTCTCTGGGTTACCTTGGTTACCAGTCCAGCAGGCCTCCTGGCTGCTGGACTGGTCAACCAGGCTGTTGCACGCGGCTGCTCGCAGCCTGACGTACGAATCACAGCCTGGTTGATCAGG